CTTTTTGGTGCTATATAGAACCCTTTTCAAAAAAGGTTCTATATAAAACTATATAAAACACATTCCCCATCAATCTGAAAAACCCTTTCATGATGCAAATAACTCTTTAATCATGCAAAGGGTTATTTGAGTGTACATGGTTCTACATAACAGTTTTCTTTACTAAAGAACCCTTGAAGAATCATCATTTTTAAGAGTGAACCATGAATGAGTTTAAAAATTCTGTTAAGGCCAAAACCTTCTCATAAAACAATGTGTCAGACATCTGGCAGCATAATTATAAATATTTTCACATAATTGCTTTTTGTGAGGAAGCTTTTAGAGGCATTCGACGTCTGGTTCCTATCACCACCACTGCAGACAATTCTGACAGTAATTCTCAGTAAGTTCCTCAGTAAGTTCCTCTAGAGCATTTCGCATCAAAGCATTCTGAGTGACGTTGTTTACATCTTAGCTTGTTGAAAACTATTTGGAATTCCTCTTTAAGACCCAGGGATGGATTTTTAATAAAATAAAAGTCTTGGAAACTTTTTGTCATGTTTCCTTTTAATTACTTTAAATATGCATTTTATGTAAGAATATAATTATTTGCCTTTGTCCCAGATCCAGACAATCTTATAATATTACAATCCGAAATAAAAATGTTTGTTTTTAAATTTGTTCCTCTACAAAAAAGTGAAGTATTTCAGTATTCAGTGTGTGAGTACTTTCTGTTCATTTTTAGACAAATCATATTTTTTGACTAATTAATTATTTTATTAATTTGTACACATTTAAGGCTATTAATTTGTCTAATTTTTGCGTCTGCAGTGGACCCTCCCCAGTCTTTGAACTGTCTCGGACCCTTGTGGCCTGAGGCCACGGAAGGCCACAGGAGGCTCCTGGCCATCAGAAGTCCCTGGGCCCCACTGGCACGGTCAGTAATCCATTCCTGACACAGAGGTTTGTTTTTACCTCTTGTACCTGGAGGTGGGGTCATACACGCAGTATCTCCCACACATTACCCTCAGTAACAACAACAAAAGACGATTTGTCCTGAAAATGTACAAAACACACATACATGCACACAGTGGCTTATGTGCATGCAAGCTAACATTTAGCAAAACATAACAAGACCATTTTCTGTCCAGCTGTAAATCTGGCACAAGTGTATTCTCTCACATGATCCACTGAACAGATCTGGCAGTCCATTATCTCTCTTTTCATTCATCATTCTTTCTCTGCATCCATTCAGTAATTTAAATGCACTCGAGTACTGTACAGCAAGAATATCTGGCCAGTTAAAGTGCTCATCTTTTCTGAGCCATTACCCCGATCTCCAGCTGTGTGAGAAACCCAACACTGCCCTCTAGAGATTCCTGAGAGATTGACTCATAATAAGCAGATGTAATGAAGAACTGTATTGGAATAACCAGACCTCACAATAAGTTGATATTAAAAACAATAACTACATGCCACTTTTAAACTGGATTAATCTCCTGATTATATTCCAATTAAAGGTCTAGTTAGGATTTTCTGAAGTAGTTTCATATCAGAGGGCCAATTTGCTAACAGTAAGTGGGGTGGACTCTATATCACTCTGTTTCAGAAGGCTGGAGGCTTGTCTCGTCCTGTGGTCATACAAAACCTTCCTGTTGTATTTGCATAAAAGTCCTTCTACTGAATCCTGATTGGCTGTTCAGGTTCATTTATATATTCTAACATTGTGCATGTAAGCAGCATGGGTGTAATTATAGCACGCACACTACAATCTGCTGCTATCATAACATACTTTGAGTGTTTGTTCACTAATGTCACACAAAAGTGAACTTTTTTTTTATTCAGTTATTCCCAATATATATTAAAGCAGTAGATAAAGCCTTTACTTTTAGAGCAGTCTAGCACAGGGGAGCCCAAACGTTTTGTCTCGGGGGAGTTAAAGTGCAGTGTTTGTGGTGGGCCAAAGGCCAAAAAGAGAAAACATCAACAAATACTTAAGAGGAAAATAAGAAGTATATAGCATACAGTACAAAAATGTGGGTTAGGAGTTTTGGGGGAGGAGGATACGGTAAATTATACTGATATGTTCCTTCACTCTTAATGAGCATGTGAACTGAGAATCTCAGAAGGGAACGTGTTCACAGGGGAATAGGGTCTTCAGAGAGATGGCATTCTGAATTTTGTGGCTGTTTAGCTGAAGAACTACCAAATCAACTCATCCTTTTCTCGAGGAATCAGATTAATTCATTTCACTGATTCATTTCATTTACTTACATTTTTTTCCATTCGGAATCTTACAGATTGGCAGCTGAATTGGTGCTGCTCCGAGCAAAAAGTATTCACATGTATTCACCTCATAATGAATGCTGGGAACTTCTGTCTGTGAGAAACAAGTCAAAGGAAGCAATTACTAAAATGTATTAAATTTCCACTGCATGTGAATTTTACTTTTAAATACATTCTTCTTCATATGACCACATTAGTATGTTTGAATTTGGAATATTCACTCACTCATAAAGACATTGAAGCATTCGGTGTAAGAAGCAGAGGAGAGCCTTCCTTGACAGACTTTAATCTGTTGATCTGATTTTTATGGCTCTTGAGCAGCTGAAATTTCACACATACCAACACAATCAACATTTTGTAAATGCTGTTTTGTTGTAAACTATCCAACACTGCCCTCTACTGATTGATAACAGCTGTTCTGGAAGGTGTGTACAGCATCTTCACTGTCTGAAGTCTGGAGTCATTTGGTAAAACACTGAGGCAGAATCATATGAAGATTCCTAAATTATCAGTCTTTAAAGGGCACATATCATGGAAAACCAATTTTCCCTCACTTTTTTGAAATAAAGGATAAAAAGAAAAGTAATATTTAAACATTTGTTAAAGTTTTAAGATGTACCACTCACTACAACCCAGACACAGAGAATATTCTGCAAAAACGGCACCTTTTGAATCCATTGTTTCTGTGATGTTACAAGAACCAACTCATTTGTATATTTCCACCTATTTGGCCTATTTAGCAGTTTCGCCCCCCGCCGATTCACAATGCGTCAGCTTTGTGTGCTTTATGAATGACGCACAGTACAGGGCAGCAGATCAGAGCTGACGTCATTTACATATGTCAGCATTAAAGGCAGTAATAAAAAAAAATACAAAAAAAGAGTAGGACCCTTCAGTGTAATCAACAATGCACAAATAATTTATCTTGGGAAAGGTCTTGTGATGGTGTATAATGTCGATGGTGGGCTGAAGGCCAAAATGATAAAACAGTATACAAATAAAGAAAGTACAAAATTCTAACTGCAAACAAAACTATGAAACTCACACTGCTTCATCATGTGTATCTAGGTTGGCATTCTTTGCATCTACTGTTTTTTTTGTTTATTTACTGACAGGCTGAGTGAGTGTTAGATGGGGATGTGATATGCAAATAAATCTTCTTAGTCAAATGAGTGGAGTTGCTAAAATTAAATGACTTTTAAGTTCATAACAGCTTTGAATATGAGGCATTCACTTGTATTTCAGCAGGAAATGATCTGTCTACTCCGACTAACTGTGAACTCAAGTGGTTGACAGGTACTGTCTACTTCTAGTTCTAATGTGCTGCCCTGTTAACACCTTATTTAGACCAGCTGCACAGTCAGCAATGAAAAGGATTGCAGGTTAATCTTGTGTTTTCAGGTGATGAAAAGAACAGATTACAGTACTTCAAAAGAAGGAAATTCAGGCCTGTAACTCTGACGTCCCCATGTGGCTGGAGCGTGTAAGAGTGAATGTGAGAAACTTCAGATTCAGCAGTGATGAAGCCATTGTTCAGTTTTGTGCACATATTGATGGATAAGAAAATAGGAAACTTTAAAATGTGACAAAATGCACAAAGCATAGTATTTCAGTTGTGATGTAACAGTAGTCATAGAATAATTAAATAACCATTATTACTTGTGGAGAACTCTGGAAATCTGAAATGTGGCAATATATGAATTTCAAATATATGACACGTATTAGCATATATGGATTTCCCTCATTCCCCAACTTATATCTGTCAAAGAGTAAACATTAATAAGCATTAATATGTGCAGAAATATGTTCTCTGTAGAGGATGTGTCCACTTATTCCCTCTTAGAAAAATTATGTCATTTGACCAGAGGTGCCCAAACCTTCGCATAAGATTATTTATTATACTATTAATGTACATATGAATATTAATGTTAATAGTTGAAGATACATGAAATAGTTTTAATAATTGTCCTATTTAAATAAGAATATTTAGACAAACATCCTCTTTGTTTCTTCCTAATGAAGTGAAAATAGGTATAATAGGTACATAACTAAACTCTAAAAACATGAAATGAATGAAAATATTGTTCCCTGACACATTTAAATAAACAGAAAACATAACAACAATAACAATGTGTTCAACCATGCATCAGACACTCACACACACACACACACACATACATATATATATATATATATATATATATATATATATATATATATATATATATATATATATATATATATATATATATATATATCGAACATTAGATCAAACATTTGTTATTGCACAAGCTAAACATTTCAGAAGAGAACATTTGCCTGTTGCTTTCATCCGGGTTCCTGAATTGATAACACAAATGCAAATAAGGAAACAAGAAATGTTTGTGCATAAGTGCTCTATATATATATATATATATATATATATATATATATATGCGCATGATTTTATACATACACATATATATATATATATATATATATATATATATATATATATATATATATATATATATATAAACATTTATTTTATTTGCATAATAAGTTGCGAAAGAAGAGAGAAATATTAAATTTCCTAATAACTTCCTTGATCGTCCCCTGTTACAAGGTTGTTATCTGCCTCGAACAGAGGGACGGGAAAAGGAGGGAACCTTTCAGCCCATCAGTAGGAGTGTGCTACAGCCTATTAGCATTAGTGTGAACATGCCCTGTTCCCTTCTTTGACAGAGTTTCAGCAACAGGCAGACACGAAGAACCTGTTCTGCTGTGCTGCTTACGCTTCTTTCTGTGAAAACAGAGTTCATTTCATCTGCCACATCATTGTGGAGACTTTCAAGTGTGGGTTTCTTCCCCTTAACAAGAGACTCCTTGACAGGACAGTTATCTAGCTGGGACAAGAATACCTTTGAATGCCCTTTGTGGGTTTGATTTGTTAAAAACTGTTTGGCTTCTTGTGAAAAGACGGTAAGTTTAACCCAGACTACCTTTGTTAGGTAAGGAGGATAGAGGTCAAGCTAAAAGTCTTGATGTTTACACTTTTAAAAAGGTTCAGGGGTTCTTTGGACACCTTCCCCACAGACCCTAAACTAAGTGTATATATATATATATATATATATATATATATATATATATATATATATATATATATATATATATATTTGCTACTTAGTATATTTCTGATGATTTCAGGATGTTTTTGGCATGTACATGTATATACAGTATATCAAAATCTCTTTGTGTTTGCTTTTGTGAGACCTTGGTTTCTGTAGCTGACTAAAACTATTACTGAAACAAAGACTAGCAGTGAAAAAATATCCTCATTTAACTGTCATATAAATAAAAATGACAGTTTTCAAAAACACGAAAACTAAATCAAAACCAAAATGTCACCGGCAAAGCTAACTGAATCTAAATAGGTATACATAGAAATGTGTGAATGAGTTTTGTAGGTGCTCAGTCTACTGTTGTGCTAATTTTATTCTACTCTTACCAGATACTTACTATCACAGTGTCCATCATAATCCTAAAAACTAAATCTGAATAAAAACTAAACCGAAGTTGTTACTTTTCAGAAACAAAACTAAAACTGTTACTGCACCCATAAAAGTAACTGAAACTAAACTGAAATCAAAAAGCAAAATGAAAAACTAAATAAAAATAGAAACTAATGAAAAACTATTAGCTGTGTGGGACAGCACATTTGGTCAGCAGTGTAATATTTGGGTTTCACCGCTATTAATCACTTCACTACGGTTCAAGTTATATTTCAGGTTAAATTAAATTCACATATTCTATTTCTAATGATTTCAGTAATAAGTGTTTTAATCTTATTAGTAATAAGCTGCCGATAATAAAGGGAGACGAGCAATAAAAGAATAGTGAAGCAATGCCTTTGATTTTGGCACATGTATCGTCACATGGGGGCTGGCATCAGCAGCCTGATTGGTTAACTTGAGTTTGATGAAGAATTACACCAATTTATCCTAAAGAAACAGAGATTAAGCAAAGTTTATTTTTATTGCTTTGATTGTGATCCATGTCAACATTAAGCATTTCTATTTTCATGTGACATAATAGGTGGGACAATAAAATTACATTTACATTTATAGCGCTTAGCAGCTGCTCTTATTCTGAGCAACTTACAAAAGTGCTTTACTTTCCACTCAGAAACTGCTAGAAACAAGAGTTACTGCTGATACCTAGAGGGAAAAATAGAAAGTACAGAATTGAGACATAGTAAAAGTGCAATACAGAACATTTTGTAGATTAAGATTCTTTTAAGTGTTCCTCAAAAAGATAGATCTTCATTTATATTAGTAATATACTGTGTATGAGGAATAGATCCTGGTTTTATACAGTGATAGGCTAATAAAATGAAATAAGTAGATTGTTTCTTTTGGCACTAATAGAGGTAAATGTGAACAAGTCTGTATGAACCAGGTCCATGAAAAAAGCTGGGGGATCCCTCTTTTCCATCCTTCTTCTCTGTACTGCTGGCTCTTTTCAGTCTTTCCTCATTCTGCCTGTTATACTTCCGACACACAAAAACTAATAGTATCCTATCATTCTTCACCATGCTATCCCTGTGTTTTTCTGGTGCTGTGTCACTCTGTGCTGAGATCACTTGCATCACCTGATATATTTATTAGCACCATTACACTTCCATTCCATTCCATACATCCAGGTGTGTGCTAAATCTCTGAGTGCGTCATAGACTTTCTGTCCCTGCTGTTCTGGCTCCACCCTTCATAATCTCACTCTCAGGTGTCTCAGTTGTGACCCCTCCTTGACTCACCTGTGTCTGGCCTATTTTGTTGTAATATTATATAATATTACGTGTACAGTATATTGCATTGTGTGTTTGTGTGTCTTGTAAATGTAGGTTTTTCCCCGTCCTTTAACTTGGACAATTAAGTTCTTTGGTATTTTTCTATGCTCTTTTGGTTTCTTCTTGTCTTGTAAAAACAGGCTGTGTACATGTGTCCAACCTCCACGTCTGAAATATTACAGGGTGTTACTGTAAGTGCATGAATGGTAAGAAAGGAAGAAGCCAGGTTAAGATGATGACCGCAAATGCAGTGCTACATCATTTTGCAATGCAAATGCCCTGTTCTGTACTTTCTTAAACCACTCAAGCATACAAGCATACAGGGAATGATACTTATAGTTATTGTACTTATATATATATATATATATATATATATATCCTTGTGCTTATACCCCTGTTTATCATAATAATAATTACATTACTTTGTTGGATGGTTATTATTAAAATTACTCTTTCAATTAATAGAGCTTACAGTCAATACATAATATGTGTTGAATGGCTGGATATGAGAAGTATTTCCAAAAGAAGAAGTGGAAGCTGTGGGCATACCTCTGAACTTACTCTGAGGCTTTCTTATATTTCAGCTCACGGTGCAAGGCAGAGATGGATCCTTCTGAACTCCAGGCCCCAGACTTGGAAGCAGTGAAAAAAGGGTGAGCATGAAAGGAAATGAATGATCTCCAAAATAGTAACTTTAACTTTTAATTTGAGTTAATGTTACAAGATTTTCCAAGTGAAAATTATTTTGAAACATCATTAAACGTTCACACACACTGCAAAATGGTGTAGAAAAAAATGGAGATACATGTTTTATTTGGAAAGTGATCATATTCTTCATACACAACCTGTAGAAAAAAAGTACTCCTTCAAGAAATGAAGTGAGCAAGTATTATTTGAGTTGTTTTATTTGGTGAAGCAATTAGGAGATGTATGTACAGTCTGATTAAAAGGACTTGCTGGCCGTTGCTGGCAATAGAACTAATTTTTGACCTTATGCTAAGGAAGCATGACCTGGTGACTGACGTTAGTGATCATGGTGTACAGATCTCTTATGCAATTAGAGTTTTTTTTTTTTTGTTTTTTTTTCCCTCCATTTTGTCCAATTCATTGCTCAAAATGTAAAATCTATGTATAACAATATTAAACGCTAAGAAATACAGGACTTCAGTCAGACACACTCAATTTAAACACATTGATCTAGGACAGGAAAACTATTGCTTACTTGCTGGAACTGAATAAAGAGAAGGGCTCTGACTGAACTGGTAGCACCGGATTCTTTCATGGTTTGTAATCAGTTTCGTCAAAACCTCAGCTGCAGCACTGTGGAGTTGAGTAGAGTGGGTCTTAGTCTTTGCTGCAAGTACATCACTGCCACTTCCTGAAAAGAGAGAGAAAATAAAAAAAAACAAAAACACACAAAAAACTCAAAGTTAACACCTTAACTGATAACTATGGAAATATTCCAAAATTACTTTACACAAATGTGAACCAGTTTTTATCTTAGCCCCTACCTAATATACCCATGTAGCCATACTGTATAACAATAAATATTGCATCATCACCTGCTCATTCATCAGAAACTCACTTTAATAGCAGTGTTACGAAAGACAAAAAGAGAGAGAAAGAATGGAGCAGGGAAACCACACACACACACACTCCTATCTCCAACCAGCATTGATTACCCCACATAATAGGTATATGACACCTCTGAATAGAATTCCATGGCTAAACAAACCCACACTGAGAAATCTGAACCTCACGTGTTTTCATGCACAGGGTGTGTCGCACTGATATGGAATACATCAGTTATTAACAAAAAAAACATGCATTCTGATATTCGGTTCCCACACTGTGGCCAACTCTGATATTCACAACTATGGAACAGACCTAGTTCTTAAAAGTGGGCCTGAAACTTTAACATGAACTTACTGTTGTATGCCTGACCACACCTACCGAAAATATACCCCCTGGTACAGGCATATAAGTTCTCATCTCTGTTCTTCGGCATCTATTCACAGGACAAATCCAGAGATGGTGTGTTCGAAGTCCAGGGGCCGGAACCACCAAAAGGCAGAGAAAAAAGATTCAGGGTAAGTGAAATTCATTTATTGTTAATTACGGTGCTGATCAATTTAAAGCCTAAATTCCTCTGTCCAAACGTGAGCTGTATGGACATTTTCTAAAATGTATTTATTTATTTTATTTATTTATTTTAATGCTGCCTCGCTTTCTCTGAAGATGGAGCACTAACTTATGCTTTTTAAAGAAGACTAATCAAATGTTATTTTCAACAGTTGTTTTCTCTGGGATGATTTATTCATTTTATTATTCTTGTTTCTCAAGGTTTGGCTCTGATAGATCTGTCTCGCCTCAATCTCGTGCTGGATCAGTGGAGAAAAAGTCTATGAGTAAACCAGACAGCGATAAAGGAGAGCACAGGCAATAACTCACTTACACTTCTCCTCTTTTTAGAGTAACTCTAGGAGTAACAGGAGCCAGTACAATGTAACCACTCCCACGTTTTGCTACTGAAATGCAACACTGACCAAACTGACCCTGATGGCTCCTGTGGCTCTAAATGTTGGCAGTTTGGTTTAGAAGTTGTGTTATTGTTCTCTGTATTCACTCAGTTTACTGGAAAAGTGCTTCAGCTTTTGAAAGCCTAGGCTCAGTGCCACTCTTAGCACAATAGTCAGAGTGTTTTGAACTGTAGGACGTCAGGCCACCCAGCTAACAACAGACATGTGGAAAGTACCATAAAAAAGAAATTTCAGGGTGTTTGTGCATGTTTGTGTGAAGGATATGGGAGGGGATATTTCCAATATTTAATCTAATAATATAGTTACAAATGAAAAAAAAGATTTAAGCAAAGATTATTTATGTCCACAGAGACAACAGATCAGAGAAAATCAACACTCATCGTAAACTAGAAAGGACGCCGTCTGTTCCGTGGACAGTGAATTCACCTTTCCAAGATTCCAGGTAATCCACATGCAAATGAACTGTGTTAATCTTAGGGGCCCCAGTGTCAAAAAAGAAAAGTACAAATGGAATTACAATGTAATTTGCTAATTTATGCACTATTGCTATATCTTAATCAAGACATTAGGGGGCCCATTGGCTATGCTTACACTGCTGCATGCAGTATAATTATTGCAATATAATAATTGTCAGCTCCATAATTATTGACACTCTTGGTACAGATGGGTAAAAAAGTAATGAAAAAAGGTTTTGTTTTGTACTCTTTTTGTCCCCCTGAGTGTTCAGGAACTTTGAAGTGGTCACCCATGACTTCCTGTTTCACTGAGGTGTCAATATGAGGTGACACAGAGGCCAAGATTCTACACTTATTTGCCAGCATGGGGAGGATAATGAATAAATAAATGAGATAAAAGTGCACTGACCTTCACAAATCAGTCCAATGGCAATGGCTGTAAACAAATAGCTATGTGCCTGAAAATGCCCTTATCCACTTTTAGGGCAATAATTAAGAAGTTTAAAACAACCAGAGCTGTAGTTAACCTGCCTGGCAGAGGACACGTGTTTATTTTACATGTCCCTGCACTCAGGCAAATTTAGTACAGACCCAGCTCAGTATTACGGCTTACTCCCTAATTTAAAGCTAATTTTGGCTATCAAAAATATCTTAATTACTCTTTTAATGCTGGTAACATTTTCTAATAAGGACATTCGCCAGCTTGTTGTTTGAATTTTTTCTGTTCCAACTTAAATGGTGCAGCAGTTACATTCTGGTGCCTGAGGCATTATAATAACTATACTATAATAGGTTGCTCAGTTTCTGCTTGACAGGTGGGAAACAGTAACATTAACTTATGTTTGCTGTTTCACTGAACCAACAGGCCAGTATTGTTTTGTCCTGTTCGCTAATGTTTGTGCCGCACCATTTGAGGTAGAACAGAAAAATTTTAACAAGAAGCTGGCAAAAAAGAAGCTAAATTTGGCCTCGTAGTTTAAATGCTAAAATCTACACAGGACAAAACCAGTTTCTGAAAAAATTTATTTACCACAGAGTGTGATAGAGGTGGTTATTCAAAAAGCCCATCCACTTTTGTAATGTGGCAGCTTGCCAGAAGTGGGATTAGAACCCAAGCCGTCTGGACGGTATTTCAAAGGCCAACCGGGTGAGCCACCACGGGGTTTTGGAAAGCAGGACCCAAACGCTGAGCTTCTATGCGATTGGAAGGTATTATTAAAATAATATATACAACCGCAGATGCCGGGGCTCGAACCCACGGTTAAGAAACCGGCGCCCTACCACTGCCCTATGGAGGCGGTGTCACGTGATGCAGGAAGGGTTCACTTTACAAGGGAACGCCGAACACGGGTGGAAAACAAAACACGTATGAAAGCCCACCTGCTAAGGCTTAGGCGGGAACTAAACAAAGGACGCCAGGGGAAAGACTGGCTCTCTCAACACTGAGGAAATGATAACTGAAAAACCACTTTCTCAACAGAAAGGAATGACCAAAGGAGAATGAAAAAGGGAAAGGGGCAAACTTTAGCTTTAGTTATTTCTCTCTCTCTCTCTCTTTCTTAAAAGGAAGAAAGACACGACTCGAGAAAGGGGGATAGGCTCGAGAAGTGACAAAGAGAAATGAAGCTCACTTACAGTGAGTCTCTTACAGCTTCTAACCGAGATTACCGGCCGGTCTGTTTGCCAGAATTCTGAAACAAAGACTCAGCAAAGTGTGTCTTCTTCTCAGCCCTTATAAAGCCCCCTGAGCAGGTGTGGCTCATTTGGGTCGTTGACTCCCCCTGGTGGCCGGCGGTGGCCTAGCCCTGGAGCCAACCCTTACAATTTTGGTCAGCTTAGAGTTCCTATATGGGCAGAACATGAATTACAGAATGATGCATGAGTTCAGTGGTCTATGGGAGACACACAGCTTATGTACAAGTTGTGTGCTTTATTAAACGGCTGTGGTTGGCCACAGCCAAGCCGGACAGAAAGCAAGGCATTAGGCTAACAGCTCTGCATTAACTCACATCTACACTCTCTCACTTCCAAGCTCCCACTCCCACAGTTTTCCCTGTTTTGCAGGCATAAACACAGCGAGTAGGCTAACCTGGCCCTTTACGATAAGAGTCCTAAGCAAAATAAACTCAGAGAATAACTGCTGGAGAGCAATAAATAAAATAAACATGCCCAACAATTCTTGAACATGCTACAATATATAAAGAATAAAAATCTAAAGATTTTTACTTGTGTTTTTTTACACATAATTTACTTTTAATAAATAAGCTGACTATATGTGCTTCCACATATGCTTGAATATGAGTTGGTCAAGGTAGAGAAAAAGAGAGAAAAAAAATGGTCTGTTTTTTCTGTCTCAGACCTCAGTCTACCCGAGCTGATTCCCTTGTATCAGGCTGCCAGTCTATGAGGAGCAACATTTCAAAACGTCATCCACCTGGTTTCACAGCAGCACTTTCAGGGTAATTACATTGAAATGAAACTGAAGGCTACACTTTGAGTCACTTCACTAGTAGTTGCTGTCAGTGATATTGCGATGATCTCTGTGAGGGGAATGTGGCCCTGTCACCTGAGCCTTTATGCGTTGAGTGAAATGTGAGTGGAACTTGTAGGCAAACTCCACACAGAGAAAACTCTGAGCACCGGGTAGAGGATGTAAAACTGCATTGCAATGCATGATGTATGTCTAATCTAATTATTGTAAAGTCAGAGATTTATACTCCTAATTTACACAATAAATTTTAAAATTTGATTTAATATAGATCCTTTTATGCATATGAATGACTATTACAGTCATACCGTAATTTGGGTGGCCCTAGTCAAATTACATATTATATTGATTTTCTAAATGAAAATAAACATCCCCTACAGAGAACACACTTCTGCACATTGTCACGCACAATTACTGATTATTTGCTACAAACAGGTAGAAATTGTGCACTAAAATGTGCATAAAATGCCATTTGTAAGTTTGTTCCATATAAAGGAAGTATTAACTAAACATGTAACCTGACTATGGCTATTTGAACTTTTGCATATGACATAATATTAAGTGAATTAATGTTAAACAAGTGGGCATTGGCTGTGTGAATCTTTTGAGCGCCTGCAGGCATGATGAAGAAAGTGCAGACTCAGAAGAAGACAGTTTTGATTCCATGGAGACTTTCCCTGGCCTGAAGGATGACCACCCAAGTAGTGACAGGTAGCTAAAACCAGATGCAGCACTTGATTGTCTGTAATACTGAAGAAAGAGTACATCTCACTACCAAAATAGGAGAAAACGTTCCACATGCAAGAACTTATTAATGGTGGAAACATACTGTAAAAATATCCCCGCTTTGTTAATGATGGAATCAAAAGCCCTCATGAGCCTCAAGAGTTTTTGTGGAAGATGAATGAAGATTAAATGTACAATGCATATAGTACAGTTCACATAGATATGATCACTATAAAAATGACCAACCCTTATAATGACCATTATAATTTAGTCAGTCAGTTTTACTAACTACAAGAGCTTAACTTCCTTTTTTGCTCCCTGCAGCCCAAGAGCTTTTTACAGATCGTTAACCCCTAAAAATCCAAGGATTATTACATACCAAGACTTATTTTTCAGTAACTACAGGGAAGTGTGTACTAAATCTTTGGGCCTGCCAGTGGCCTAGCCATTTAAAGGGTTAGTTTAGTCCAGGTAAGATATAGAACTGTGGGTTAAGACAAAGTAATCTATCCCTTAAAAAAAAAATAAAATAAAATATTCAGAGAATACAATGGACAATTTCATTTTCCCCCTAAAACTAGTGTTAACAACTGTGGTATTCTTTCTTCTTTTTTGACCTTTTTTCTTCTTTTCTGTAATCTCTAAACCCTCCGCTAATACTTTCTCTTAGTTCTAGTTCTAATCATTCGGACTCGGAGCAGCCTACAGAGTGTGTCATTCCAGAGCCCAGTGATGGTAATGACTGTTTATATAATAGGGATATGGTTATATATGTTTACACGTTTTTCCATCACATTTATAACATTTTTAGTTTCCTCCATATTCAAGGGTTTGCTCCTTTTTTATGCCCTCTGCAGTGAGCATCCTAAATGAGACCAAGAAGAAACTAAAGGAAAGATATAAAGAGCAGCTGAAATACATTTCTGTAAAAGCAGAAAAACACAGGAGTCCCATTTTACTGAATGATGTCTATACAGAGCCCTACATTACACAAGAAGAAGAGGAAGAAGAAGGAAGCCCTGCACATGAAATAGGAGAGCCAAAGGCAATGTCCATGCGAGTAAGGTTAGAAGAGCTTCCAGTTAAATGGAACATCTTCGAACAACCACCTGAACAGCGGAAGCATATCAAAACCATGCTCACCAAGGGAATAGCCGGCATTGGCAAAACCATATGTCTACAGAAGTTTATTCTTGACTGGGCTGAAGGGAAAACCAACCAGGAGATCGATTTGATGCTCGCACTTTCTTTGCAGAATTTAAACCTGAAGAAAAAGGAAAATGTCAGTTTAACCGAGCTCCTGCATCACTTCTTCCCAGAAGTAAAGCAGATCGATTTGAACACAGTCAGAATCATGCTCATTTTTGATGGCCTGGATGAATATCACCTTCCTCTAGATTTCCAACACAATACTAACTGGTGTGACCCCAACAAGCCTACAGCAGTTGATGTGCTGCTGACAAACCTCATCAAAGGAAATCTACTGCCCTCTGCCCTCCTCTGGGTAACGTCTCGACCGAGGGCGGCAATTGCAATACCTTCAGAGTATATCCAGAAGGTCACAGAAATCCACGGGTTCACTGAAGCCCAGAAGGAGGAGTACTTCCACAAGAGAATCAGCGATAAAACTAAAGCCAGTAGAATCATCTCACACATCAACACAACCATGAGCTTCCAGAGAATGTCCCACATACCAGCGTACTGCTCACTCTCAGCAGCTGTTCTACAGGATACTCTGGATGATACAAATGCTCCTCAAACACTTACGCAGATGCTTACTTGCCTCCTACAAGCAGACCTGCAGTAAAAAGGCCACACAGATTATGAATGAGTTTGAAACACTGAGCACCCAAAAACATGTTAAACGAATAGACATCCTTCTGTAACCTGAGCCATCAGCTTTAAATGAAACCCATCCTATAAAAACGGGACTTGCTTTCATTCTTTCCATGTAATCTGATGGCAAGTGTCATTTTGAAATCAGACCTTTGTTAGTCTTTGTTTATCTTATTACTTGCTTGCTGTAAAGTAAGATCACCACTTGGTTCCGTTTAGTACTGTACTGAATACTGCAGCTGTCCAATTGTCTCAGTGACTGCACTTTCTGACTGGCTGCACTTAAATCCTTATTTTGCACTTTGCTTTAATTAATTACTTTTCTGTTTAACTTATTTAGTACTTAATGTATTTTCCTCTGAGTTAAGCTTAATTATGGCCAAACACCCAATAGTCAAGCTGTTATTAATGGAGCACAAATACTATGTTTGCTGCCAGTTTTTCTTTAGATAGATAGATAGATAGATAGATACTTTATTGATGCTGAAGGAAATGTAGCAGTATATACTGTGTATATATATATATATATATATATTATATATATATATATATATATATATTATACAATATATATTTATATTGTACGATTTTGATTCCTTTTGCTTTGTCTGTTCTTCTTTGTCCGTTGCAAATCAACAAGTGCTGTTAAATAGTCAGGAAAAGCTAAATTAAGCTACAAATACAAAAATCAAGACTAAAGAGAAATGTGTCTGAAGCGAAGATTGTTTTCTTTGTGTAACTTAACTAAATTTGATTCTTATGAAGCTACCTCAAATAAGTTGTAAAATTCCTGTGCTCCTCAAGCATAAGTACTGCTATAGCCCCCAGTTAATCATTCTAGTGTTTATTATCTTGTGAATATGCTATAATGAATAAGACACAGCATCTATTCAAATGGAGAAAACTGACATAGTTTCATGTCTAAGCAGTGAAATTGACCTCTGAGCTTAACAACTTTGAGCATGGGAAAAAAGATTTAAAATAGATTTATTGAAATTGGCCTATGATATTGAATATAGTATCTTCAATACACAAAAAATTATGAGGTTTTATAATAATCAGATCATGGAAAACTAAGGAACTCAGCTGCATACATCACCAGACCTTAAAAAGGTCTAAAGACTCATGCAAAGTTTTGGTGTGTTATAATGGAAGTCAAATAATCTGATTTGATGAAACTGATGTTAGCTTTAGGCTGAAACCTTGTGTTGCATCTGTGACATTTTCTACGTTTAGTTATCTCAGGAAATCCAGTGCTGCCAGTTTTAGATGGTAAATGAGTGAACACTTATCAAATGCCTGTTCCTTATTAGTCTCTGCTGATGGGGTTTTGACTGAAGGCTGTGACTGTAAATTAGGGCAAGATTTCCGTAAGTGTGTTACTCATTGCTTTAGACATGTGAGTGGACTTGTGTTGCTCTTTCCAGTGTTTGCTTAGAAGTCTAGAGTTACGTAGCATAATTACATAATACATAGTGAATGAATGAACTGCACATATATTAGGTTTATACTCTGTATTGTTCTCTGTATTTTTCAGTTGTTTCAATGTCAAAAAGGACAAAAAAACATACATTTTTCCACAGAATGAGTGGGTGGTGACTGAAAGCTTGGAATCTGCACTTTCAACAGAATTTGTCCAATTTCTTCAATAAGCTATGAGTGAGAAATAAAACAAAATATAAGGGCTGCATGGTATATACATGGGGGTCTAGGAGACGTGACCACTTCACCACCTTAACACTAAGAGAAAGCTATAAGAATGATGTGCTGTAGAAATTAGCACTGACTGATGCTTTCATGAAACATAATGAGTATATTAAATGCTCTTGTGACTAATGGCGTTGCACACATGGGGTATGACTTTGGGTTGGTTTCCATCCTAAAGCTGATGTCCTGTAATTTTTGTAGTTGAATTTAGAAAATACACTTTGTATTTGTAATAATTTAATTTAGGAAATGCACATTAATTTGCTCTCACATTAATTTGCCATTAATTTAGGCCTTCATCCCAGACTCATTTGTTATAGTACAACACTGCTTGGAAATACTGTGTCATCCATATAATAAAATTAACTAAAACTATAATCCACTCATTTACTTGTGTGTGTTTTATACATAGGTTGACAGACAAAAAAGCGTGATCTAATTGTGTGTATTATGAAAGCAAAATTTGAAAGTGTTAAAAGTCTCTGAACACAAATAAATAAATAAAAAACAATCAGACTGCATACACAATGTCAAGTCTTGTGGCAAAGGAAGGTCAGGAAATTGTATTTATGCCTGCCACCGTTGCTTTCTTTTTAATAGACACTGCACTTTTAATAGACATAACTGCAGGTTTGTAATGCAAAGCTTTATACTGTAAAGCTGCAATTGCTCATAACCTAGAAATTAAAACCTTTCAACAATTTGTCAATGAATAACAAAATATAATCTATCACTGAAGAAATCAACATGTGAAACTCCTAAATTGGCCACCATTCAAATCTACATCATGATTAAATGATCAGGTACAAGAGCTGAAAATGAGATCCATCATTAAAATCCATTTGCTGATGTAGCATTTAGTCACTTCCCCAAAGAAAAATGTCTCCATTTTTGTCAACTTATTTTTCCACATCATTTGAACACAGTAACCCTTTACATTAGGTGAAATTTTAAAAAAGATCACCTCAAAATCATTTAGAAATAATCATGTCTTTATATGAACTTTCATTAAAAGATAAACAGGTTTTTGCCTTCTTGTGTAAAGTTACTATCTTGGAGACATTTCTTTAAACAGTGGTGATTTGCAATGATGACAAAAGACACTGACAACATTAAAGTGAGTTGATTTTTTTCCTTTTTTTTATACAACATCCAATAAAATACTACTAGCTACAGAAGGAAACAAAGAGGAAAGCTGGCTAACATTAGCATGCTGTCTAGCTTTTTCCAACCAATCAACGGATATAATATTACCACCATTCTCAGTATTAAAGACTGCATTTTAATGGAAACACTGTAATCATACTGACTGAAATGTATTACCTGGTTAATCGAGCACAGGAAGCTATCTGGCTAATGAGCTGAGGACAGAGAAGCACAACTTCCTCAAACATAATTGTTCAACTGTTTGAGTGTTGTGTTGTGTAACAGGTCTCACTCCCATGAAAAAATATCTACAACCTTTGCAGGAATTTATAATTAATACAAACCTTCAGGCAAAAAGGAATTTATAGCTTTGTAGTTCTGCACTGGATGTAAGGAGTTTCCTACTTTGCATCAGAGGCTGAGACCTCTCCTCTTGTGTCACTGCCTGTAACTATAGTACAGATTGCAAAAGATTACACAGAGTACCCTGAAGGAGCTCATTAGCTGGTTACCTCACATTAGTTCCTGCATTATGCATTAAACATTACTTTATGTAGTACTATGCAAAAGTTGACAAATTTACCAAAAAGCTATTTGCATACATAATAAAGATCAGATTTACATGTAAATTCTAATACTGACAGAAACAGCACTGATGCATTGAGGATTATTTCTTCATTTATCAACATGAGAAAATATTAAGGTTCAGGTAGAATGTGAGCTCATTTCATTTAATCATTTCTTCATCAACATTATTAGAGCTCTCAAAACACTAAAGCTCCAGCATTTTCTGTACAGAGTTTCAGGCTAATATTATTGTGATTAAAGGTCCAAATAGGTTGTCTTTGCCTTCCACAGTCCGCTAATATTACTGATAATACAAGTTATACTTGATAATACAAAAACAATTAAATCTCCATTTATCTTTTCTAGACGTAGAAATTATATTCCAGAAAAAAATTTAAAGAATTAAAAACGTGTCGATGTTTTCTCGCTGGCAGAGTCAGGTACTGCTTTTCCCTCCTCAGGCTTCGAGCTCAGCTGTAAAATACACACATACAGACACAATTTGAGACAATGATGAATAAATGAACAGATTCTGTTTCTGGTATTAAGGGTTTCTGGAGTTAACAGGAGTTAAAGAGACAGTACAGGACTTCAAATCAATCTACAGTGTTCGGCTTGTTTAACTCACCCGGGTTTTAAAGAGCAGATTAATGACGCCTTTTGAGCGTCGATCGCTGGTGCGGTCAGACGGCAGACACACAGACATGCTCTTACTGTCCCGTCTAATTCTGGGTGATTCCACCTCCTCACTGCCATTGGCTACGCTCAGAGACAGACCTATAATAGATATCAAAGGGAGGAGAGTGTGAATGAGTTAGTACAGATTTTATAGAACTGCTATACAGATCTGAATGATCTCATATGTACAGTCAATTATTGGCATCACTCAAGAAACAATAAACAATACGTGTAATGATTCAAACATTCTTCTTCTGCCGGGAAGAGGATGCATGAGCATAGTGTCTCAAAATACAGTGAGGAGGATGGTAAGAGAGGCAAAGAGGAACCCAGAGATTACAGTTTCAGAACTGCACAGTAAAGTTGAAATGCCTGAAATGCCTGTTCTTTTTTCTGGGCAAGCCACAAAATGCAGTGCCTGAGCATTGCACAATGTCTATAAATAGAACTGTATGATGTGTTCAGATGAGGTGAAAATTGAACTTTTGGTTTAGCACAACATTGTCATGTCTGGCGAAAAAAGGACTGCATAACCACCATTAAAAATGGTGGTGGATTATTGATGCTTCGTGGCTGTTTTCCTGCTAGTGGTCCAGGGGCTCTTGTGAAGATCAATAGCATAATGAATTCCACTAAATACCAGGAAATTTAACTTTAAAATCTGTCTGCCTCTGCCAGAGAGCTGCAACTTGGCCACAGGTGGATCTTTCAGCAAAATAATGACCCCAAGCGCACATCAAAATCCAAACAGAAATGGTTTTAGGAACACAACATCAGAGCTTTGTGATGGCCCTCTCAGTCTCCAGATTTAAACCCAATCGAAAATCTGTTGTGCGTTTTGAAGAGGACGGACCACGACCGAAAACCCAAGAATATCAAGGAACTGGAACTGTTCTGCAGGGAGGAGTGGTCCACTGCTTGTCTGCTATGAAAGTTAAGAAAGCACGCTGACTGTAATAAAGAGACAGCTTGTCAGACTTGGCTGTGTTGTAGCACCCCTTGCTGTAAATCTCAGAATGCAGCTTGCACTTACATGCGTTACATTATAAATTGCGTCATTACACATTTTTAAAGCAACAACGTGCAAAACCCTGTCAACGTAGCTCAAAGCAACTGTGATCACGTCCTTACAAAAAGTATGTTTATAGTCTTATACTTTTGCAACAGAGTGGCATACAAAAATCAGTAGATGACGTGTGAACCTAAAACGAACATGTTAGCATTTAAAGTTAGCAATTCTGTTGTTGCAGTATTCTCTATGATATGATATGATATGATAGAGCTCTCATACAGGCGCCTGTAGAGGCGAACCTGCTGAGCACCAAGTTACAAAAATCTAGAGGTGCGCAACCACATGCTGTAACATCGCATGGAGCCAGCACACAGGGTCAGAGATGCTGTGATTGCGTCATCTTCAGCACACACACCCTGAATCTGCCCATAAGACAGCATAACATCAAAATAAGTTTATTTTCAGGGACCCCTCAGAATTTCACACCTTGGCTTCAATTACCTTTCAGCTACATTAACCACATAGCTTCAGTGCAAAATTAAAGAAACAAATTTCAGACCCCAAACATGTCTTGGGTGATCGACTTTGGGTGAGGTAAAAACTGTGAAAACTTTGAGGTCTATGCTTTAACCGGGTGATGTTTTAATTGGTTTAATAGGCTGATATTTGGGCTTTGAAGATGTGTGTACCTGTTATAGTAGGCAGTGATCTGGAGTTACTGTTGGCCAGGCTGCTCTCTTCACTGGGCTCTGATAGATTTGTGTCACTGCGGAACTCCTGCTTTTTTGACAGCTAGGGGACGACAGAGAATCAAATATACACACTCAGTCTCACAATAATTGAGTTTTCTATTAGCAGCATTGCTGCTGTTTCTATTGCTTTCACTTATTCATGCTGTTGTATTCCCATCCACTCGTGCCAAATGAGGATACTTTTTGTTTGAAACAGATTCCATTAGCTGTACTATAAGAGATGTCAAGATTGTTTGGTAACACTTTAATGCTCTTACTCGTTTGCCGTCCAGAGTGCTGGTCCTCTCTTTCTCTTCACTGATAAAGATCATGCTGCCCCTTCCCTGCTTCTGCTTCTTCCTCTTGGACCTCAGTCTCACCTAAGAGAATAAGACAATGGAATTGAGGCAATGTTCTGTTACAGGGAATGTAAGCAAGCACTGGCTGCATTAAAGTGTGTGCTGACATGTCAGGGCAACAGTCTTTGTGGTATACTGTTATGATTAGAATTAAATATTATGACTGAGGTCTATTTTAGATTAGGATTTTTATTGAACCCAATTAAGAAAAATCTAATTCTGATTCTACGCAAGACACTGTATGATATCCACTGTGTACAAACTTAACTGTGCTTATCATATTAATGATTAAACAGTCCTCATGCTCTTTCTTCTTATTTTTCTTTTGTCTAGTTTCAGACCAACTAGCCCCTCCAAGGCAAGACTGAATTCTATAAATGTTTTTTCTGTGATGCAGCATATGAAGTCCTGCTGAGTTTCAAATGGATGACAGAACAGATGTTCTGTTAGAAATGCAATGTCTGCATTATGTAGCACTGGCTCTACCTATGTAGAGGTGTTAGAGAAAAAGCTTGTGGTGCATGGTTTAGGAGTTTTAGGAGTTGTGAATTATTATTCATAAAGATTATGGTTGAGGTCTTTTTAGGTCAGGTTTAAAGTGGGAGTTTAGGTTTGACGTTTTAAGATTAAGACTTATTTATTTGCCAAATGCAGATACTGCTTCTTTTAACCTAAAATGTATTCTGTTCATAATGCTTCTAGATTCTCACCTCCACTTCTTGTCCGCTGTCATCAACCACACTGATGCTACCACTGGAGCGAGGCAGGGAAGTAGGGGTAAGTGGCACGGCCGAGTCCAGAGAGACACTAGAGAGAGAGTGGGATAGAAACAGAAATCTGCAAAAATAGCTCATTTTGAATTTATCATTCTGAGGTCACAGCCACGAACATACTGACATATAACCACCCTGTCATGTATTCGGCCAGCCAGCCTCAAAACTACGATTCCCAGAATCCTCCGCCTCATCACCTGACTCCAGGAAGATCATCAGCAGCCTATCACCGCTCTAGTTCTCCTGAATATTGATCATTTTCACCTGTATGTTTTCTCACATGACCTGTTTTAGATAGTATATTAGCCCGGGCTATAGTCAGGTTCAGTGCGAGGTATTGTTTTCCTAGTGAAACTACTGAGCGTTCTTTCTGGTTTTGATCTCCCCTGTTCTGACCTTGTGTTTTGACTTTGTTTCTCGGATTTTCGGATTTGCCCTTTTGGTACTGTTGCCTGGTTAGCTGGATATATGGTTTTTGACTTTCGCCTGTGTTTTGGACTTTGATCTGCCTAGCCCTATTGTGTTTTGATCGCCTTCTGTGTATTTTTGCTGTGCCTGTGTACTGACAACGATATCTCGAAGTAAAGCTTCTTCACTGTTTTACATCCGTGAGCGTCTGCTCACTGGTCGCACGTTACACACCCATTCAGCCTTCAACAATTTATCACTGCAAAAAGCTACATCTTAGCAAATCAAAATGACCTTATCTTTAATTGATATCTCTAATATTTCTCATGTTTAGATCATTTAAGAATATTATAATATTATTTTACCTACTTTTACACATACATTACTTATTTTTTACTTATATACTGTAAAATAGCTTGTCAGTTCAACCTAAAAGATTACTTCATATAGTATCAAGCAACTGAACTAGTTTTATTCAACTCACAAAAAATAACATTGATTGAAAGAATCATGTTGAATAAAACTAGTTAATTTACTTGTTGCCACATGAAGTAATTTTTTTAGGTTGAACTGACAAGACATTTTTTACGCATGTTTAATACAAGCAAAATTATCTGCCAATATAGTGAGATAATTTCACTTGATAAAAGGACTTAAAATATGAAAAAATGTCTAGAAATAATTGGAAAATTCTTAAAATACTATTACAACAATCTCAAGTGAATTTCAATCTCAATCTCACAATCTTAAGTGATAAATATTATATATATTGATTAGATTGAATATGCTCCAAACTGCCAACATATTTTTTTGCTGTGATTATGCTGAAGTGACAAAGAGTGTTGTTACTGCAGATTGTCCGCAGGAGAGTTATTGGAGCACCAGATGTGGGCGAAAATGATCAAACCATTTTTTTTCTTCTTTTTTTGCTAGCTGTCAGAAAGCAAATGTGTCATTGCAGCTTTCCAAAGAATCCACACATGCAAAAGGAGTGTCTGACATGTACTTCTTTGAGTTAATGTTACATCTGCAGCTTTTTCATTTTTCAGCCAAGAGGACATTTCCATAGTTTTGGTACAGAAATGTACATAAACCTTACAAGCAGAACTGTAAGCAGGAAAAATAACATACAAAAAAAAAATACAGAACATGGGCCCCTTAAAAGATGTAACGAAACACAAACGCAAAAGCAAAAGAAAAACAAAAAACAAAAACATTTGTCTGGGATGTGGACTGTGACAGATGAGCTGTTTATGGCCATCCACTTTCAATATCTTTATTAATCAATTGGCAACCACCTCTAAACAATTTGCAACTCCTGGCTTCAGTCTGAATGACTCAGAGATTAAACTCCAGCTGTACACAGCCCTGCTGAGCCTGGATTTGCAACAGCAGCAAGCCAGGCTTTGGCAGTAAACCTGAACTAAACTAAATCATTGTGAGCTCAGGATCTTAGTGAATAAAGCACAAACACATGTCAGAAACAAGTGAGTTTGAACACATCCCTGCTTCCCTGACTATGATTAATTTAGGCTTAAAAATCAATCAAATTTTGATCTACCAGTAAATGAACTGACAGAAAAACCATGTAGAGTGTTCTGTACATGGTCTTTCTATCAACCGTGCATTCATTCAGCCATGCTTGTCATGTTAATGATTCATCATTCCTGGTGCTCTTTCTTCTTTTTAATCATTTTTCTTCTGGTTGTCTACTTTCAAACTCACCCCTTCAAAGAAAGACTAAATTCCATAAGCAGTTTTCTTTTACATATCTCCACTGCCAATCAGAAATATTCACTGGGGTTTCAGCTGGATGACTGGCGGGCATAAAAGCACATTCACGCTTAAATGGCACCTTTAGACGACTAGTGTAACTTATGCATTATCTAATAGAAATATTGTATCATCTCTACTAACTGGATGCTATGATAGAAACAAACAGCACTGAATACTAAAAGTACAACAAATGCTGCCTCATCATCTCATACCTTAGGACCCAGTCATGTGATTTGCAAGTTTATTTCCTGCAATGTAAGCATACCTTGCTGCTACTAGTCTATAAATCACTGAACATTTTAGGCCCAGAAATCATCTCTGATATGTTTAAAGAAAATAAAGTAGGTCTCTTAGACCCGTGAATACGGGTCAGCTAGTAGCATCCAGAGTCCAAACCAAACATTTAGCTGCTATGCTCCATACAACTGGATCCAACTGGATGTGGCCCAAACTAGATGTGCCCCAAATGTAGCCATTTTTAAATCCAAGTTACAAACATTTCTCTCTTCGTCTCATTGCACTTTATTTTAAGCATTGCAATTTGAATCTTATGCATTGCAATTTGAATCTCATGTTTGTAAAGCACTTCAAGTTGCCTTTGTGTATGAAATGTTCTATATAATTAAACTTGCCTTGCCTCTTTCACAGTCAATATCATGGTGGTTGACTTTGAGAGAAAAGCATTTAACAGTCAGCATCACAGTTACACCCAGAGAACTTACTGATTCATGTTAGAATCAGTATAACCAGGTGTGGCTTAGTTAGCAAAGCATTTTTGGGGTGTGGTTACCTGTCTGGATGTGGTTTAGTGGGGGTTCCACATTCTGATCCAGCCAAAGAGCAGATAGACTGACGGACCGAGCGGAGCATAGAGCGTGGACGTGTGGACCTTCTATCATCCATGTCCGGCTATGGGTGTAGGGTGAGAAAAAATAAATGAATATAAGCAAATAGAAATTCTCTTCTTTTATATCTTCAGTCAGTCAGTCTTCCCCTCTCACCAGTTCTCTGACTCCGTACTCCTTCTCCACTTTCTTTTTCAGCTGTTTGAAGCACTCCTCCATGCGCTCGTGAAAAGGTCTGAGGTCATCCGTCACCCTCTTCCCATGCAGAACGATCCCTCGGCCCAGCAACGGAATCTACAGGGGTCCAAGCACCACAGGCATTCAGAACGTCACAGCAATTCAGAGACATCACAGCAGTTCAGAGACATCACAACAATTCAGAAATGCTGTAGAATGCTGTGTGTGTATGTGAGCATGTGTGTGAACAAGTCTGTGCGAACCTGCCACGCGATGAGATCTTTGAGACGAGACAGCTTTTCTTTGTCCTCTGGATGCTCCTGCGTGTACTCGTCTATGAAAAATGCCTATGGCGAAAGTGAAAGAGAGGGAAAAAGTGAAAAAAGAAAGAAAGAAAGAAACAAACCAACAAAACCAGGAACAAACACATGAGCACATACGCACAAATACATACCTTCTCATACTTGGCAAAACCACCCATGACAGCAGGATCCACAATACCATTGAGCAGCATAGAGAGGGGGTTTATGGGCAGAGTCTCGTCACACTGGTATTGATTAATCATGGTGAGGATTTTCTCATTGGTGTTGCCCATTGTCTCGATAGCATTTTCCAGAGGACTGACCGTTGTCTGACAGAAAAGCGAAATAGTGCATTAATGCAAACATGTCTCAAATTAGACAGAAGCACATTCAGTGGCCGACTGTTACAGCTACGCTGTGTTAAAGAGCGCCGTGTGAGATCTTTCTTACCCACTGCTATAAGGCTCTACAACGAGTCTCCTTACCGCAGAGATGGTACTGATCTCCTGCTGTCTGACCTGTGCTGAACCTCATCACTGTATCTCCTCTCCGAATAATACACACTGTGCAATATATCATGACTACTACTGTAATGACACTTTCACTATGCACTTTACGCTGTAATATTGATGCAACTCCGAGTTAGTTATGTCTATATATGCTTTTAATTTACCTCATACCACTCAGTGCCTTCTTTCATGCAAATACAACAAATCTGTCTCATATGCCATGTAAATATGCAAATAGATATATTTTACTTTATTTCTCTTGTACTTTAACTTATGTCTAAATTTATTTCTATTTTTCTGCATAGTATATGTAAGTTTATGTGCAATTATATGTCTTGCTACTGAAACACAATTTCCCTTCGGGATCAATAAAGTTCTATCTATCTATCTATCTTAGACATGATGAAATTAAATAATGAATAGATCCTTTAACGATGCTGTGTTTTAGAAACTGTGTATTAAAAACAGCACATGCATATAAACACTGCAAATTATTAAGAAAATAAGAAATATTTACAGTGCTGTTAAATTTACAGCTGGACTAATACTCACATGAGTCATGCTTGTAGCCTCAAACCAGCGCAGAATTCCTGGCAACTTATATGCGGTGTAGAAAGTGGTGCGCTCAATCCACATTGACTATAAAGAAAGAGACACAGACTTTGGGTTTAGGGGTGTGTGTGTGATTCCTGTCCTATTTTCCTACATCATTTGACCACAACAGCAGCCTGCTACACTGAGAGAAAATTTCATGATAAATGCACCATTTATCATTTTTTTACCATACATCATTTTAAAAATGCATGGGAAGAATTAGTAACACGACAACTGCATTTTTTTATTTGCACATTTTTTCAAAATAATTTATTTTTTTGTAAATTACTATGTTTACTGAATACTGTGAAACTCATCTGGAAATGTGATTGGTGGAGATGAAAAAGTATTGCATGTTAAAGACTTGTGTAATATCAATACTGCAATCAATATGGCCAGTGGACACTGGACATGTGGACAAATAACAAATGATTATGCAGCCCTAGTCTAGGCATGTGCGTTTGTATGTGTGTCAGCAAAAGACTGTGACTCACAGCAAACTCGTTGTCTGGATCGACTTTTCCCTTCCTCACAGGCCTGGAGTACTGGAACCTCTGAACATAGTTTGACTTATAGAAGCTGAAAAATGAAAGAGGTGTAAGGGAATGAAAGCAATATGTAACAGTGGCCAAAACATGATGTGAAATAATCTGCAGAATGGGTTCTGACTGGTGGAATACCCACTTGATGATCTGATCAGGGACTGGCTTGTTCTTTAGACGGGGTGGAATCTCTAGTACAGGTTGGACAGTGAAGCACTGGATGTCTGAAAGCATTGTGCTAAGAATGACAAACTGATCCACATAAATTCACGAATAGGACAGTTTTGTTTAAGTCTGCACAGAGTTAAAAAGCATGCAGGTTTGATTACACCTCATTTCAAACAGTGTTACATGAACAAATACATTTCATTGGACTTGGAATGTGTTATTTGCATACACTTGACACTCGACCCCATTACAGCTTTTAAGTAAATCATTTATATATAAGCAAAAAATCAAGAAACCCAAATCTGGCTCTGTTTACACTTGGCATTAACATCCAATTTCTGTGATCCAATTGTGCTGATCAGACTACCATCTTATCAAAACACACCATTTTTACACATGCACTTTTCAAAAAAAATTATAGCTGGTCCTGATGAGAGACCTGTGTACTGTCCTCCTTTATAAGTCTACGTTTAAATACGAAAAAGAAAAACATAACTTGCTTAATGTGAGAGACACAACGATACTGAAAATTGCAGGTGGAGCATACATTAGACTGTAAATGGCCGCATTGCATTTACACACACACACAGACAGACATTTGACAACAATGTGTATTCAACTACCTTGGAATTAGGGCAGCTAGACTAACTAAGCTAGAGCACATTCTGATCATACTCATCAGCGTTTTTACACATGTACTTAATAATTGTAATGTTGTAGTTAAAGGATACACTGCAGGGGGCAATTCTTGATGTCATCTCCAGGCATGGTGGTGGTGTTGAGTCTGACAGCGCTGGGGAATTGGCTCATCAGTTGTCCCTGAAAGTCCTCCCTGCGCTCGTACTCTTTACCACGATGAATAAAGACCTTATTCTGCAGTTAAACACACCAGTAAACATGTCACAACCTAAACCTCCCTAAAACCCACTGCTTTCACACTTCTGAGACTATACAACAAAGCACACACACACTGACCCGCAGGAACTGGGGGAAGCCACAGCCGTAGTATCCCACAGCAAAGTAATCTGGTTTAGGACGAAGAATCTTCATGATGTTCTCATAGAACTTTGCCTGTTGTTTCTAAACAGAGGATCAAACAGCATTTAGAGCACAATGGGAAAATATCAAAACATGCACAAAGAAAAAACTTTGAAAGAACAAGACGGACGACTGAGACAGAAGCGACAACAGAAGGATGACAGAACACAATAAATGAAGGAAAATGTCTGAAACAATTGTAGCTCTAGTTGTGTAACATCATTTTGTTCAGTGTTTAATCACAGATATGACATCTAAGCTGCATTTTGCAGAATTTAGAATTCATAACAGAGCTGACCCAATTAGTCCAGAGGAAATTAATTATCCAACATAAATAGCACACTGCACTGTTCTGAGGCCGACACGAATCCACAGCCTCAGAACAATCAGAATAATACAGAATCCTTTGATTAACTGGAGAACAATTTCATTAATTATTGAGCGTAGTCACAAATTTAGAAAATATATTCACATTCAAACAGCCTGAATGTTAAGCAGGCAGAAATATAACCTTGACTTAAAAGATAATCTGACTCTCAAGGGAGATTTTCGTGTGATTGGGGCAGATACTTTTCTTTCATTCTGTCCTTCTCAGAAGTGAGTGATTAAACTGGGCATTAAAGATTTAGTGAAAACGAAAAATGTGATGTGATGACTGTGCCTTTCAGGAATGTATGAAGGATTCATAAATCCTGAGTTCACCCTTAGAAGGCAGCATTAACAAAGGCATGCTGTACTTCAATATTAGTAAGTTTTGACTTGAGTGTGCGTTCTAAACCTTTGAGTGTTGCTGCATCTGTGTTTGTAAGTGGAAGACAAATGTTTCATTTACAATATTTTATTATTGATCTTGTCTTGAGGAAATGCCGTCTTTACAGTTGTGCAAGATTTTTGTATTTCTTGACATTAAAAAGTCTCTAATACAGTGAGCAAGCTGAAAGTAAATGTAATTTGCTATACAACTAGTTATGTGTTTAATTATGTTATTACATGACTACATTAGAATATTAGCTAAATGACAACAATAATTCTCGTCTTGGTTAAATTATCTGAACAGAATCAGAAAAACTGTGAATGTTTGTTTACCAGGTTCTCTCCGAGCAGCTCATAATCGAAGACTTCCATCTCATACTGGTCAGCAAGCTCTTTACACAGAGCAATGGCTTCTTCCCACATCTAAATCATACACACAAGCATGTCAGAACAAAATGTGTGAAGGTCCAAATGCATAAAATTCAAGATTAATTGTGTTCCAAGGTGAACTTTAGTTAAGATTAGGGGTTGGCAATATAATGATATTTTATCATTACCTTGATATACAATATGCATTTCTGCAAATACTGTGTATATTATCACTACTTGAAGAGCACCAAACAACTACATTTGATTAGATATCATCATCCTATTTAACTGGATTTAGTGCAGTGCAGATTGCGAAATGGTGAACTATATTATGTATTATAATTATAATGTACTCTTAGCTTTTTATAGCAGTTATCAAATAACACTACCTGTGCACTTTGCCTGTGTTTTAAGATATTGTGATATGTATTGCGTATTGTAAAAAATTCTCTTAAAGTATTGCAAAAAACAATTTTAACCATATTGCCTGCCCCTAGTCAGACAATGAATTCTTATTTCAGGCTAAGATTACACAGTCCGGGGACGCGGGAAGTTGAGGTGCTGAGGGTGCCGCAGCACCCCAATTTCAGAATGTTTTTTCTGTTAAAAATAATAATGTGAATAAAAAGTTCTGAACATTGTAAATAATTTGAGCACAGTACAGATTCATGTGTGCATGTTTTAGAGTGGATTTTGTGTTTCTATACTTTAAAAGTGAACATCATATTTTCAGTACAGTGAGACAAAAGTTTGCTGCCTTGAGGGTGTGTAAGAAAAACACACATAGGCTGAGCTTCAAAGAAAGAAAATCTGTGCAGAGATGGAGGCCAGTTCTTAACCCCAAGGCAGCCTAATATTGTATTTTAAACTTTAAAAAGTCATCTAACATAATAATGAAGATTTTATTAACCGTTATTCTCCTGCTGTGTGCATTTCAGTGTTAAATCTCACTGTGTGGCTATGGGTGTGACACAATCGGTTACTACGCCATTAATCAGCCAACTTGTCACTGCTCAGCTCATTTGCATAAAGTTCATCCACAACTATAGAGCAGAGAGATGACGTGCGTCAGTTATTTGTATATATTGTCGTCGCTCGCCACCGATCCAGCACTGTATGATGTGCTCAGTTTGATGTAAATTTAAAATAAAAAAGAAAAAAAAGAAAAAAGGCAAATCATAATACAAGATGTCATTGGCCATGACACACATACCCTGTTTAAAATTTCAGCACCCTCAACTTAAAGCACCTTCCCGTATCCCTGACACACTCTATATCACAGAAGAAACGAGACCACAGATGCACAAATGCTACAGCCTACATTCATCAGTGTTTAAAGAAGACACTGTTCTGAACCCTAGGCTTTTCTTAGTTTTTAATATTAAGCCTTATTTTTCTGTAACTACAATGAGTTATTCAGTAGGTACTTTGAAACTAACATGTAAGTCATGTAGTTATTATACAAAAAAAAAACTGAAGTGTGGGCCACATTTCAGAAGGGATTTTAATTTAAAGGAGCCCAAACGGCTTCTATTTTATGCAGGTTAACAGAGAATTTTGTGTTTTTCTGTTCTTTTTTCTAGTGCAGCACTGAAAAAAGTGCCTTAATGGTTGCTTTAAATTTACATGATTAGATGTGTACACTGGCTCAACATTAATAATATTTGTTACATCAACATAATTACTATGTGTATGTACTTTCTTTAACTTACTAAGTTGATGTAATATACTTTATTTGTGTGGAACTGATGTACACATTTGGATTATGTAAAGTCAACAACTTTTGTTTTCAGTGAGGGAAATGTATCAACACTGTCCATGGTAATCAACTGTTTGCTACAGATGCAGCAGATAGAGGCTGAAAAGTGCTAGAGTATTTCTTCAAGGGGTTGGAAGTCATCAGCACATGTCACTACTGAGCTACATGTAAATTTTAGTAGTCTAAAAGATTTGAGTCCAGCACACCTTGCCCTGGTCAAAGTAGCTGATGATGGTGCTGTAGAGTGACTCTTTGAGCTGCCGCTGGGACTGGCGGCTCTGGAAGTCCACCTGAGGAGTACACTGTTCATCTGACCACTGCCAGAGAGGGGTGTGAGGTGGGAGATGAACAGGGCAGGATAATGGAGATGGATGGAAGAGAAACAAAATTAGTGGAATGAAGATTGAGGACAAATTGAGTGCAAAAGAATGAAATGAAATGAAATTAAACAAAGTGGACAACAGCATAAAAAAGTTATAATAAAATGAGACGGGTCACTTTATACAAGGAGAGAAATGCTTTGTGAAATTCACTTTTGTACGCCTACAGCCTTTAACATCATAATCTATTCCAGAAAAGATAATAAGGATATAAAACTTGTCTGCTGGAATTACACCTGTTACTCAGATGTCTATTCTATTTAGGAAATGAATAGGGTGGTGAGAGGCAAGAGAGGATATTGGTGAAGAAAGTGTGGAACTGTGTTCACCAGTGCATTACAGGTCAGAACGTAATCTAATGCAAATTGAACTGTAATCTCCTGATAATATTGATCAAAAATGACCTAAGAAAAAGAAGAGAGAGAGAGAGAGAGAGAGAGAGAGAGAGAGAGCAAGGGAAAGAGACATAGAGAAAGTGGTAAAGTGAAAGAAAGAACAGGGAACAGAGAGAAAGCAAGAAGGGAGGGGGGAGAGAGAGAGAGAGAGACAGAAAGGGAGAGAGATAGAGAAAGTGGTAAAGTGAAAGAAAGAACAGGAAACAGAGAGAAAGCAAGAAGAGAGAGAGAGACGGGAGGGAGAGAGAAAGAGAGAGAGGGGGTTGAAAAAAAAGCTCCATAAATCTAAGTGTTTAGTCTGCAGGAGCTGAACTGAAGTTATAAATCCAGTCTGAGTGCTTTATCTATCCACAAAGTGCCACTGGACGTTGTCAGGGACGACTGTAAATCAGCCAATAACGATGCCGCTTTCATTCCAAAGAACTCCCACTGCACCAACCAAAATATCCCTCTCATTGCCATGGCGACCTTTTGTCTGGGGTCAAACTGAATTGTCTGAAATTGCGGTGTGTGTGTGTGAGCTGCTTACGCAAGGCTGTGATTAAGACTGCTCTGAGTGGCTTCAGTGCGTGTGTGACTGTGAGTACCTTAAGCAACTTGGAATGCAGCAGAAGTGTGTATGCAGCCTCTGTGAAGTTCTCCCCGTCCAAATGAAGATCCCTGAGCTTATAGAGGTACCTGTAACACACACATTAAAACATGACTCGTCTCACACCTGGGACCTATTAAGCTGTACTTTACAGCACCCTCCATAAGAGGACAGTATTGGACCTGTAATTCAGAATTAAGCTTGTATTTCTTCAGCGTTTAAATCAATTCTCTGGAGCCGGTCTGTTCAGCTCCAGTCTCACACTCTGGCCATGCTCTGTTCTCCCTAATAAAAACCAAGATTAACAAAGGATTTGCTATGGTCAACATGTAGGGTAGAGGATAAAGGAGGAACAGAATATGTCAAATAAAGAAATACATGATTTGAGCAGCTGCTCTTTCTTTCAAAATCAAAATGATTCTGATGGACACGAGCAGATCAACAAACAGGCTTACCTGGCCTGCAAGTGTCAAGGGGGCCCCCTGCAGGCACTCAAGCACAATTGTGACATAACTCGAGGAAAAAAAAAAAGGCAAGCTATGATATGTAGACTAAATATGTTGCCTGATGTGACTGATTGGTGCCTGATGATTTGTTGCTTTTGCAGTGTTTCTCAAAGACTCCTTCCTCACCAGTACTATCATTACACATGGCAGCTACCAAACACAGCAAAACCATGGCATTGCTGACCACATATAATAAACAACATATATATAATAAACAAAACAACATTTAACAGACTGTCTAACAAGCCAGTACTCTATATGTGGACACTCTGTAGAATAGTTAGCAACTAATCACATGTTCACTTACAAAAAAGTTCATGAAGAAAGGTGCATTGCTAAGCGCTGCCAGTATTTTTAGCATGTTCACTCATGTAGCCACTCTCTGTATTAGCTTATAACAACAACGCGACATTGTAGTGATGCATGCGGAAAAAGGTAGACGAAGCTTTGTATTTGGAAAAATATAAACCCCATAGGCAACTGAACTTGAACTGAGAACGGAGGCGACCCAGATTAACAAAGTCCATCTGGGACTGGGGGCGAGGCGGGGTCTCCTTTCCAATATATAGAGCAGAAGGAGGAGGCACCACCATAATGTCATTGGAGAGATCTTCTAAAAAATATTTGTCAAAAATTGTTTCTACCATCCTATGATCGCCCAAAACTGTCTTCCAGACCTACTAGCTTGTCTGATGGCTACTTTGTGAATGGTGTCATACAGACATACTAGTTAGCTGGTTAGGTCATACAGACCTACTGGTTGGCTGATCATATACTCATACTGGTTAGCTACTTAGGTCATAGGTAAGGCAGCCTTTCTAGTTGTCTGGTTAGGTCATACAGACACACTGTCTGGCTGCTTATGTCATGCAGACACACTGGTTGCCTGGTTAGATAATACAGACATACTGGTCAACTGGTTAGGATAAAAAGACATGGTTGGCTTGTTAGGTTGTGCAGACCTAATAGTTGTCTGTTTAGGCTATACAGACCTACTCGTTGACTGGTAAGGTCATACAGACATAGTGGTTAACTGGGTAGGTCATAGAGACCCAGAGGTTAGCTAGATAGGTCACAGAGAAATATTGGTTGGAAATATTGGTTTTAGGTAATATAGACATAGTGGTTGGCTGATAAGGTCATTTAGACCGTCTGTGTATAAAAGTTAATTTAAATGATAGAGTGTTCTAATTGCTGTAGTTGATAACGTTAGGACACTCCATCTGATTTCTATGGTGTGCTTAGATTTGCTATACTTTTATATATTGTCTGACAGGTGCCTATTATGATTATGTTGGGGTACATATGATGGGCCTCTAAGAAAGTGTAGACCAGAGGTCCATGACCAAGTTAATCCACCCCTGCTGATGTATTTAATATTTAATCTGCAGTAGACGAATGGCAAATGGCTACTGCAGGTCAAACAGCAGGTTTTAAAAGTAAAACAGATCAATACCAAGGTGAATAATGAATAATCAATAGCCATTCTCAAATGTGTTTGGCCTAAAAAAACTATGCCCTTCTAAAACAGAATGACCAAAGCTTCAAGGGCTGGAGCAATGCCATGTTTTTTCTAGGCATGAAAAAGTCATTCAGAGCAGAAATTTAACACCACAGTCTCAAACCTATAGAAAACGCTCCACTAGTCTGAATGAAAGGATGGGAGCGTTCCCATGAGACAAATCAGGTGTGTCAGAATGAAATTTGATTTTTTACAGTGTAGTAGCTTACAATGCTGGGTGAGAACTTGTCTAAATCTTTACATGAGGGGCAGAACTGGAACATGAATAAAATATCCTGCAGATATCTGCTTAAGATATTCAGCCTTGACCCAGTGTGTGTAAAACATGTGCAGTAATTCTGTCATTCCTCAGCCAGGTTCCCTCTCTCCAGCCACACACTCAGACACATCCAAGTTTAATGTGCCTCTAAGGCTGCTGTATGTCAAACAGCAAGGGAGAAATCACTCCTTCTCTTTTTTCCTTTTCTTTCCTCTCCCTTTTTTCTTTTTCTTCCATCATTCTTTCTATTTGTTTTTTCTGTCTTTCTCTATTTCTTTATCTGTTCCATTATATCCTTTATCTTTTACTTTCATTATCTCTTTAAACTTTTTCTTCTTTCTTTTTATCTCATTTTCCTCCGTTCTATTTATTTACTTTTTTGCCCATTTTTATCTTTATTTCTTTCGTTATCGCTCTCCCTTTCTTTCTTTATCTGTTTCCTCATCTCTCTGTGTCTATTTTTTTTCTCCCCTTTATTATCTCTTTTTTTCTTTCTCTCCCCCTCTCCCTCTCTATCTAATAGCTACCTGGCACACTTTGATCCTGTAATATTCTTTGGCTAGTGGGAGGGTGGAGGTGTGTCTTGTGTTTTTTTTTCTTTTTTTTTGGTTGCAGCCGGCTCTTCCAGTGCTGGCAGAGATATGAAAGGAATTGGGGAAAACTCCAGAGAATTACAGAATTATAAACCAGGCCTAAGGTACATCTTCCAGCCTGGATTTAAAACATCTCTGCTTTTCTCCCTCTGTTTGAACAGGCATGCGGATCAGTGGCTGGAATAAGACTCACTGAAGCAGGTTATTGATCCAGCAGCATGATCTGACTCGTGGGGAGAATATGCATATGATAGAGAGACTCACTCTCTGCAGATCCTCCAGGGGCTTTAATGTCTTGACCAGCCAAAGTGTGTGTGTGTGTGCGATGAAGAAATGAAAGCCAAAACAAAAGCAGGTAGGGGCTTTCACTATCTGAGGTGCTGGGATGTTGTTAGCTTTCACAGTAAGCACAGAAATGCAATTTTCTTTTTTAACCCGTAGGGCCTTTACATACCAAAGGTGATTTATTTGTACAATTTATTCTGACATCAGTTAGTTAATCCAAAAAAAGCATATAATTGTATGCAAAAGTTTGAGCACCTCAGGTCAACAGTAGATGTGTTGCTGATTTTCTAAGTGAAAATAAGTTAACACACCTGCTACAGAGAACACACTTCTGCACACAACTGTACCCGATGATATCTTGCACATCAAGCATAATATTTTGGAATTGTATTCGCCCTCTGTTCGATTTTTGCAAACTTTCATCACGTGTAGTGCTAACATCTCCAAAAGCACCTCAAAATGAGTTAAAGACTGAGTTTCAGCTCCTGAATGAGGCAACGAAGCTCTCTGTGCTGCTTTCATTTACAGGTGGTGTTAATTTGATGTGGATTGTGGAAAGTGTGGATTCTACACTTTCAATCGATACATTTGTGTTTGTAAGTAGGAGATATTTCATTTTCTATTAGAATTTGATTTGAAGTTATTGCTGTGAATATAGTGTTTGAAAAAAAAAGTCTATCACATTTTTGCCAGATGCCTTGACAGCAAAACAAATGGATAAAAAAGTCAGAAGTGCAGGCTCAAACCTGTCGATAAAAAATTTAAATCAAATATAAATCTAGCTAATTGTATAACTTACTCTATATTTAAATATGTAATTATGCATTTACATTTAAAGAGTTCAGTAAAAATAAAAGTAATAACTTGACTTTTAGGCTGTAGGTCTAATAAAGGAGTCTTCTCTCACTTCCTCTCTCTAACATTTATCACACTTGCTTTGAGACTTTCACTATCATTCCTGTAGATTTCTGTCTCACTCAGTCACACTGTTCCTTATCTGTATTTTCAACGTTCTGCATTATTTTCATTGCTCCTATATGCCTCTTTCTCCTTCTCCATCCTCCTCCCCTCCATACACTCATCCCTTCTCTCTGCCGTCTGCTGCTTGATTCCCTTCATTACCTCTCTTCCCCCTCACTGTTTTTCTCTCATTAATTCCCCCTACGTACTCTTCTTCTTATTTCATCAATATCCATCATTCCCATCTCTCTCTCTCACTCATGTCCTATATGCCAAGCGATCTCATCTTTTTCATGTCTATGACTTCATGTCTAAATGACTCAGAACTATTCCTTTCCACCAAAGTCAAAGATCCACTCGACCATCTCTGCTCACTCCTCTCTTTCTCGCTCTCCTCTCTCTCTCTCTCTCTCTCTCTCATGCGCTATGAGTGAGTGTGTTGCTATGGGTGGAGGAGAGGAGGCTGATCCTCTGGATTTTAACATTAATTCAGCAAGGCCTAGATAATCCCTTGTCAGATTACAAACACACATACACACACACACACCAAGGCAACACACAACCTACATGTTTACTGCACACTCATACAAGCATGAAAACAGAAACACACACACATATTATATATATATATATATATATATATATATATATATATATATATATATATATATATGTGTGTGTGTGTATACATATGCATCTTATATATGTATATATATAAGATGTATACATATTTAATTAATTTACCTGATGTACATTGCCTCACGATTGATATCCTTGTAGAAATTCTGAAAAACAAAAAACACAAAACAAAGGTAAATATTTATAAGTAATTCACTTATGCATATATATGTGTGTGTGGTGGGTGCATGTCTGTACCCATCTGCAGAGCTTGCATCACATTTTGTCTCTCACATGTGTTCCTGTAGGCTTCTGCGTAATGGATAATAATCATGTCTGGCTTTACACAATCTCTGAATATCAAGCAGTATGAATGCATGAGACCCAGCGCTCTCACTAATGCAGGTAAGCCTCTAATAATACACACTTCCTGACTACATTCTTCACTCAGACTGACAATGCTTGCAGATGTTTGGAAAAGCACTGCAGCGTAGAAGCTGATGTGTGAAAACATAATGAAAAAAATTAGGAAACGTCTCAATGGGTCTAGATAAAAAGCTGTTAAATTTTTTTTCCTTAATAAAGTCTGTCTGTAGCCTCCCTAGCATTTTCAGCTTAAGAGTGGCTGTTGTGGAAAGCCTAAAAATGCATGCAACAATTTTCTCTACCACAGCGCATGGAGCCTGCCATCGCCATCGCTTAACTCTGCTGCCATTCACTCTTAAAAGTAAAGATGCCAAATGGGTTCTTTGGAGTGATGCTGTAGTTAAACTACTTCCAGTTCATGAAGAACATTTCAGTGCATGGTTCTTCGAAGAAATGTTTTTGTAAATGTGACATAAGCGTGAACCACTTAGGAACCTTTATTTTTAAGAGTGTACAGCTCCACCTCAATGTCATAGCAGACACTAAGCTCTATGCTCCTTCACATGGCTAAAGTCCACTGGACGTGACGTGCCACGCAGCATTCAAAAATTCTGAAAGATGCACACACCACCACCACCACCGACATTCAGCATTGACGGAGATCCAGCACTGCTCAATTTCTCTAAGTGCCACAGCACTAATCAACTCTCTATTACTACAATAAATGAAACCCATTACAAGACCTCAAAAATCAATAGACTTGAAATTCACACAGAGAAAAGGCAGTCAATCTAAGGCCCGTTTAATAAACAGTGAATGCGATGCATTTGCTGCCTCAGCTAACGTTAGTAGCCTAGTCATATCACAACTCACTTCATGTCCTGTCTGCCACCATAGAGCAGGTATTATTTGGGTGGTGGATCATTCTCAGCACTGCAGTGGCAGTGATATAATGGTGGTGTGTTAGTGAGTGTTGCGCTGGAACAAATGAATCAGACACAGCAGTGCTGCCGGAGTTTTTAAACACCTCAGTGTACCAGTTCTGTGGTGGTCCTGTGGGGGTCCTGACCATTGCAGAACAGAATAAAGGAGGCTAACAAAATATGCAGAGAAACAGATGAACTACAGTCTGTAATTGTAGAACTACAATGCGTATCTATATGGAAAGTGGAGCTGATAAAATGGACAATGAGTGTAGATACAAGGAAGGTGTACTTGGCCGATTGGTGTATAGTAAAGTGAATTAAGTTTAATTCATGTTTATGTTGATGTCTGCGCATCGGCCTAGCTCAGTACGGTGGAGTGCTCAGTAGCTTTGATGCTTGATGGCTGATTGGCTGGCGTGTCAGTAACAGGACGACAGGGATCCTGACCTGTTTTAGATCAGGTAGATACTAAGGGAAATAGACTGTAAGTCTGCAAGGCTGCTGTTTCTGGGGTTTCTGCTCACAGAGGCCTGCCAGTGTGCCCTTGAACAAGTCGCTTAATCCCAAATTGCTCCAGGTGCATTCAACCCAGTCCCTTCCCTCCAGGGCCTACTTGTACACGAGAATATGCCATCCCCTTTCCACAATGAGAATATATCCAGTTGAGCTCTCCAATGCCTCTCATTGCAGCTGAGATTCAAACTTTTATACAAATACGATTCAAACTCAATTCACACATAAATCCCTGCTGAATGTTCTTGCAAAGCATTCAGCAGTACTTTCACCACAATCTGAATGATTTCTGATGTTTTAGCACTTATAAAATTGTGGAATATGTCAGAAAATGTGTGAGAGTGTCTAAGCATCCCTATATCTCTGTGTGTGAGTGTGCATGAGTGTATGTGTGAGAGAGAACGAGAGAGAGAGAGAGAGAGAGAGAGAGAGAGAGATGTCGAAATGCATTAAAGATACTGAACAAGCACAATAAGAGCAGATGTTATTACTTTGCTATAAGAATCGTTCATGGATTCTGAATGATGGCAGACGATTTGAGTTACCACTATGATAAAGTGAATCCGACACTGGAAATGAAATTAATACTCAACGGCTGAAGCTCTGCCAGAGCATTCTGACTGTATTTGAAAACAGCAAGATTACGGATTGTTCAGCTCATCGCATGCCGCGTCTTAACATCTTAATCATGAGCTGATGACATTATGAAGTCATAAAAAAAGCAAAAGCATGAGGCTGGGGAATTAACCCTTAGAGGATGCACTTATCCACAGCGATAGCAAAAGAATGTTGCAATTTGATATTAATTATTTATTACTCATAGCTCATGGAACCAAGGGGAGAAATTCTGTTTCTGAAGGTAAGAGCTCAAAGTGTTTTAACAATACCACAATTGCATTCGTATGTATAACAGAACATTATGGTATTGTGGTATCATGATTTGAATTTGTTATTTATAAAATATAAATGTAAATCAAATGTGAACGTAATTCATTATGTTTCCTACTGCATAACTAATTGTAATTACATAATTGTATTTTAAATCTAGCAAAATGATGTTTTAATGAAGCACCAATCTCCCAACTTCTAGAACTTAACTACAGCTGCGAGCTTGTAGCAAACTGATAAAAAATGACAACTGAATTGAGCATGAGAATCATAAGCATTAGCAAAGTTCATCGCAATAGATCGTTCTTCATGAGAAGAGATGACAAGAGAAGAAAAGACAATGCACTAAGTTTCTATAGACATTGATGGCTTAGTTCAAAGGCAGATAAGAGGGGAAAAGCTGCTGTGAAGTTTGACACGTTTGATGGCTGGAAAGCTAACCTGCTGGGTTGGAGACTGACAGCTCAGTGTAACAGTCAGTTAAAAGCTTGAGTGGCAGCTGAAGGTCTTTATCCTGCTATACTGAGGTGGGCAGGTATGACATGAATAGGTGGGCAGGGCTTACCAAAAGATTGACAGTGCAGCTCATGCGGTTGTTTCGGCTGTCGTCACTCATCACCGTACGGTAATCAAGGAGACGCTCCAGGAGTCCAGTCACCAAGGAAACAAAGCTCCGCACCTCTGACAAAAGCGGGGCGTGCTCCTGAGCACACTCTAGGAGACTAGAGTCAGGAACACATACAGATGGACACAGACAAGAAATATAAACATATTCATATATTTGAACACAAATAAACAAAAAAGTGGCACATGCATTAAAGCAAACACACGCAAACACACAGAAATGGAGTGTATGCACGTCTTGACTTGGCTCTCCGGCCTTGGTCATCTTTCACTCTAAACACACAGATTTAAGGCTGAAGAGGATTTAGAAGATCTTATGGCGCAAAGCCATGCTTCAACTCCTAGACCCACTCCTAGGCCATAAATCACACAGCTAAAACAGCTCAGACACTGTTTTGACACATGAGAGACAGAAACGTAGTGAAACTGGGGGTATCAGTGAGATAGTAAAAGAGGGAGAAATAATAATAATAATAATAACAATAACAATAATAATAATAATAATAATAATAATAATAGTAATAAATAATAAGTAAAAAAAATCTAAAAGGTTCAAACAAGATCACTGTCAGAACATTATCTTGCATTGCCAAAAAAGTAACCTTACAGGAGAAAATAAAAACAAAAAACAAAACTTAATTATAATGAAAGTTAATGTGAAAAGATTTAATTCCAAGCCATTTTGGACTACTTCTATTGGTCTGTCCTTCCTGAAATTTTGACACTGTGTAAACAGCAGCTGGCACTGTTAAATTATGTAAAAATGGAGACAACAATGATTCAGAAGTAATTGGTATTATCCAAATAAACAAAATAACGACAATAATAAAAAAAATCTTAAAAATATAAACAAACAAACAAATAAATAAAAAAGCTGGCTGTGTGTGTGAATATACATTGTCTGCAGTAGCTCCATGTATCTGACATCTCCTCCCCCTCCTTCCACTTCATGATCCAACTTCAAAATGATCTCATTCTCAAACTGAGAGAGAGAGAGAGAGAGGTGTAATAAAATTCTTAGTTATTAGGGCATAAAAATGATATGACAGTAAATAATCAGTCTTCTGTTTATGGCGCTGTACTTTTTTAAAGTGTCCTGCATGTTTGTGTTCACACTGCATCATGTCAAAGAAGATGGGTATTGTAGCTCTGCGAAGTTCCTCCTCAGGAATTAACGTCATCTCCAGGATCGGCCCCACCATGCCAGGGATAAAACAGATTTTATTCCCCGCTATAACACACACACACACACAGACACACACACACACACACACACACACACACACAATAAGCAATGAAATGGAAATGCAGTAGAAAGTGAATTTGCATACACTGATCTCTTGCGTAAGCTTCAATATATGTGACTATACACTCACTCACACACACGCAGACTTACCCAACTTGTACCACATGTCTCTGATGGCAAATCCAATCAGCCTTCTCATATCACCATATCTGAGAAACAAAACAAAGGAAAAAAGAGGAAAATAGGAAAAGAATAAGCAGATCAAATTAAAGTGTAAATCTCTGTTTGGTTCTTTGTTTGTCTGTGTGTTTATTTGTTTGCCTTTTTCCACATTTCTTACTCTACAGACTGGCACGGCCTACGTTAGTTAATATAGAGTTCCAGAGTGTGTGTGTGTGTGTGTGCGTCTGTGTATGTGTGTTTGTTTGGGACTTAGGTGTGACTATTTACAGTTAGGTGGTCAGTAAATGTTCCACAGCAGCGTGACTAGATTAAATGCAACGCACCTGTATCTACAGGCATATGTCTGTGTGTGTGTGCGTTCTGGTGTCTCACTTTGCCAGGATCTTGTTTCTCTTTGTGGGGGAGAAGTGCTGCAGCTGCAAAGACTCTTGGGTAATAAACGCCACAGCCAAATGGAAGTAATTATTCCACAACTGCAACCGAGGGAGAAGGGAGTGGGAGAGGAGGAGAGAGCAAGAGAGAGGGAGAGAGGAAAAGTAAAAGAGAAATGGAGAGAAAGAGAGATAAAAGTCATATTTCTTAGTTACATTCATTCATGCTTAAGGTATGTCTTATACACAGACATCCACACACCCACCTGCACTTCAAAGTTGTTGTTGTCCAGGAACTTGTGGTTCATGGTGTCAGCGTAGATGTTTATGGCTCTGAGGAACACTCTGATTGGATGATGAAAACAGAGGTTTTATATAAATATCAATCAATGGTAACCTCATACTTTATTCACTGAAATGCACCCCAAATGTTTTAAACATACCGAGTATCTAAAATACTGACATTTTGTTTGATTATGCTTATGCACAACCTCACACACACCCTAGCATTTCAGCATGCCTAAAGCTGGGCCTACACCACACAATTTCTAGCTCAATTTCAAACGCTTTTGCTCCTTCTGACAAATTTTCACAATCTGAAGTGATTTTTCCAGGTTGAGAGCTCAGTCAGAAGTGACACCAAGGATGATCTGGTAATGTGAGAGGGAAAATGTGTCAAGCTTTAGCCTTCTGATTGAAGACCTTCCAAAATGTTCAAACATGTTTGATTTTTATGCTTCAAAACATTCAGCAGTCTTGTAGTGTGAGACAGTCAGCAATGTAACTGAATGAGTGATTCAGGCAACAGCCAGTGAGAGAGATAGGAGGGAAAAAAGGCAAAGAGACACGTATGCACACTGCATGTACAGCAGACTGTAGAGACAGAGCAACTGCTTGCTGAAGGCTAATAAGAGCCTTGATACTGTTTAAAATTTATGGATGCAGATGTGAAGGAATTCACCACACATTCAAGCCTGCACTCGAGATTTTGAGCACTTTTCATAGTCAAAACTTATAATGCATGTGATACCCTAATTTTGCCTTATCAACTAGTGCAGTGGTTCTCAAACCGGCCCTCACGGACCCCTAGATGGTCCAGATTTTTGTTCCAACCTACCTCAAAACACATATGGATAGAGCAAAAATGTGGATCATCTGGGGGACCGGTCTGTGAACCACTGGTCTAGTGTGTGTGCTCTCAAAAACACAAATACAAAAAAAAAAATCTGTAAAATGCTGACATTACTTGGGTGATGCTCTCTGTTATTTAAATCTGTTAAATCTGTTAGGATTCAAAAAGTCGTGTAGTGTATGCCAAGCTTAACAAGCTTTAACACACTACTCCTACTGTATTCACTTATAACTGTCTCATACTCTCATTCACACCAAGTGTGTATGTGTACGTGTGTGCGCTCTCACCTGTTCTGCACCATGATCATGGTGACCCAATCAGAAGGATAAACATGTTTACCAATCAGATCCTTAAACAGCAGGAATGTCTCCATCAAGAAGTCCTACAATAGCACACACAGCCTTATATTAAATGTCTTACACTAAATACGTATGTGTCGGTTACAAAAAATGCAAACTGTCACTGTCATATCAAAACGTCATACTTTCTTTTTTATCTGATCAAATTTGACCCTGAAAAAAAGATTGTTGATCTTGCCCAGTGCAGTCTGCCAAAGATACTGCTTTAAAAGCTGTTTAAAAGCTGTACTTGAATGAGAGAGCTACAATCACAGATTCTGTCACAGCACTATTCAGTGCATGAGCAACTGGGCCTCAGCCTGCACTATATAAATGGTTGAAGGTCAAACTAGGAAAATGCGTTAGCGCTGTTTAAAAGCTAAGTAAGAGTTAACTTTGGCAGAATGTTTTTCCCTGTGTTGTAAATTTACCATTTTGGAAATACAAGGTTTTGTTAGGACAGTGACAAATTACACTTTGTGTGTCAATGTGTGAAATGTGTGTTTGTGCAGTCTCACCACTAGGTCACTAGTGCCACTGAAAGTTTCGATGTAGCTTGAATAGTGTCGATCGTCCATTTGACTCAGTATAGCAGTCATACAGGCTACTACACGAGACTGAGGAGAGAGAGGGAGAGAGAGAGGGGAAGAGAAGGCAATTGAGGGCAAAGTGGTACATTACAGAGGTTGAACAGCAACTAATCAAAAAGTCCTGACACACATTTTGGGAAGGAGAGGGAAAGATGGGGAAAGATGACAAACAACTTTTCAGATTACGCTTCAATCATTCAAAATCTATTTCCACCTCCTCTCCCTGCCCTCTATCCCAGCCTATCTCTCCTCCCTTATTTCTCCCCCCCCCACACACTCCTTCGTGTAGGTGACACAGTGTAAAGGTGGGAGGATGATGAATGGCAGAGGAGGAGGTAGAAAAAGTGATGGATGACGGATGGATGTTTGCAGATGGTGCGATAAGCTCCATCACTCAGTGGCATGTCAGCATCTTGACCGCATTCTGCTGATCAGGAGCATGTGGAGAAGTGTGTGTGTTGGTTATGTGTGTTTATGCACTGATTTGTTTTGTGACATTTGACTCTCATTTGGAATGTTCACTCAGGATGGGATATAATGAGGTGGTTTAATCATTAAAGGGATTTTCAATCAAGCCTCTTTCTGTTGCACCTGTAACTGTTACTGATACATTTCAATGTGAAATGTTTCCCAGTTCTGTAAAAGAACAGAACCTGTTGACTCAAACATACAGAAGCTGTTCTTTTATAAGCATTGGGAAACGTTTTAAAATTATTTTTCAGTGTGGTAAACACTAAACCAGATGCAGCAGATAGTCTACTGGTTGCCAAACACTGGAATATTCCTTAGTCTACATAAGCTGAATGATTTGTCTAACTTGTAAAGCCTCACACAGAGCAGAACATTTGTACCAATGCAGCACCAGTCTCTGAGGTTCATCTGGGTGGAATTTCATCTCAGACATTTTATGCTGGATACATTATTAACACACTGAAGATGGAAAATTCAAACAGAGAATTTAATTATGAGATGAAAAACATTTGGTTCCACATTTCACTCCACCCAGGGTCTTTCTGGGTAGTTTTAATAACAACTCATCCAGTGCAGATGGGAATCCTGCCACTAGCATTTAGTTTCCCACTTTATGGCCTGAACTTCTTTAGCTACATTCATAGGGAAAAGCTTGAAGATCTGGCAATATCTCCAAGTGTTTTAATAATGAGACTTGTTGAAGCATTTGGAGGAAGTTTTTAAAACTTTGATTGGTTATTTGGACAATATATAATCCATTCCTTTTTAAACATGGACAGAGTACAAAAAACTATACTCATGTACATTACAGCAGATATCAGTGACCAGCCACTTTATTAGAAGCCCTTACTTTGAAGGTCTCTCTTTGTGGTGTACAGTTAAAGACAATAGTTCATCTGCAGAAATGCACAATCTGCATTAGTTATCCTTTAGTCCTCCATCAATTGCCAGTTTCTGACCACAGAGCCACTGTTGGCTGGATCTTTATGCATGGAGGATCACTGTAAAACAAGCAATGTGTAAAACCCCCAGCAATATCACTGTGCCTGATACACCAGTACCTGATACACATACGCTACCATGTCAATGTCAATGCTATGCTGAGAATGGTCAACAGCAGTTCTGTGGTCAGAAACTGACCAAAGATGAATGGGGTAGAGGAGGGCTGATAAACACATAGGCTGAAGTACACACACACATGTTACCATATATATATATAAAGGAAGCCACAAAGTCTTGTCTTGTTTTTCTACAGTGGTGTTGATGAGATTGTGTTCACTAGGCCTGAACGATTTAGAGAAAATATCTAATTGTGTTTTTTTAAACCAATATTGCAATTTAAACATGATTTATTTATATACATTAAGCCGCTGGCCTTTTTGTATTAAGATGACCTGCAATTCCATTTATTGGTGCTTCAGACTTGAACACTGAATTTAGTGTGCCAAACTGACAACTCACAAGCTCTAGGTAATCAGATTTAATTTGCCCAATTTATACACATTAAGACAACATTGAATAATGTGGGATATTCTGCAACTCTTGTGATTTAAAAATCGCACTCTTTCAAACTGTGATTTCAATACGTAAGTGATGGACTGTTCAACTCTATATAAGATACAAATGCAATTTGGATGCAAACCTGCAGAAGTCTGCAAAAAAACTACTAAAATAATGAAGATCTGAAACACACCAGCCGCCTTTGAAAGAACACTCTGCCAAAAAGAAAATCACAGCATTGAAATGGTCTGTTTAAAATAAATGTAACTATTGTTAACATCACCACTGTTTTTGTTTCAAACATTTGGCAAGAAACTGAATCTCATTTACACCAAATGCATGCAATTAGCATCTTTCATTTACTTTCGTTCACAGGTTCAAACGCAATTCGACTTTGCAGCATTTAATCAAAGACTCATAACGGTGAGGAAAAAGGTTAGCTCCTACAGAGATAAAGACAGATATTTCAGCTGGAGAAGATCTTGGAGGTATTGTTCATTTTGCACCTGCTTTTTTTAAAACTGAGATAGAAGGTGTCATATATTCAAGTTCACATCATGGTGTAAAAATAAGATATGTAGCTGATATAAATAAACCACTGAATATTTCTTGCTCTCTCAGAGAGATGCAGGGAGAGGATTTCACAGCTGTTTGTGTGGCTGGCTTTAAATTCTGCTTACTGGAAATATGCTGATCACACAGACGTCTGCTTCTCTGAGAAGCTTTTGCGTGTGGGTATGTGTGTGTCTGAATGATTTCCCTATTGTTACTGTATTTGTACTTCCAGATTGAGTTTGAAAGTGGATGATTGAAGACAAAAGCACATCTTCAACTCACACACATGCACACATCTAACAAAGAGGCAGAAGATACTAGAGAGTAAGTTAAACATGGAAGTTAAAAAAGAACTTCCTACAAAAACACTATATTTGAGTACATGTAGCAACACACGCATATGCACACAGACATATGTGCTAACAAAGATGGGCTGGAGCATCCAAATCTCTCCCTCACACACACAGAGGTGTGTAGGGGATAAAGCGGAAGAATGAAGTGTAATCTGTCTTATGTAACAAATCTAATTAAATAGAAGAGAGTGTCATCTATATGGGCAGATGGCTTACGCTGCAGAATGAAAACGACACCACACACATACGCTCACACACACACGAAACAATGCACAATCTCAGCAATACACATACAAACAAAACAATAAAAATCTGCATTTCGCTCTTAATCCTGCCATTGTGTAAGTACCACAGTATTAGGCCGTATTTCTTCCTCTTTACAGAGAAAAAGCATGACTTATAACAAATGCATTAAATGAATGGCCCATAAGAAACAATATCATCAAAGCAGTATTTACCTTAATGCTTTAACAAGCTTTATGTAATACCTTCATATTTTAAGCCCTATAATGAAAGCTGTACTTGTGTCTATTCCACAGCCTATTTCACTAATGTGGAAATACAGACATCGCTGCAATTTCCTATACAGTCTCTTACCTATGGCAGCATGCTGTAGACTTTTTTCATATTCAAATGCTGAAAATGCTAATTAAATATATGTACAATTGCATTTCCCATGTGAGTTTGGATTAGTTAAGACATCATTCAAATTCAAAGCATGTATTTGCATTTGCATTTCTGTATATAATGGATGGAAAAGTTCATATGGAAAAGCAAAGTCCTTCTGGCTTCATTTTCATCGTCTTGATGGTCTCAATCTGACATATTAAAAACAGAATAACAATCGGCCATTTGCATTAGCATTTCCTCACTGTTGCACTCCAGCTCTGCCAAAAATTTAAATGTACTTGCAACTCTGATTGCAATTGCATTTTCACTGCCAACAAGGCTCTCCCGTCAATCAAATGCTGGGGGTGGGACTTTTTAATGTGGGCATATTTTAAGAAGAAGTGATGAAAAAAAGTCTAAACGTTTTCAGTACTAGCTCATTGTTTGGAAAAGTAAATGAGTTTAGAAAAGTAGATTTGGAAAGTGATTTTATGTTGTTGTGTGTGGAAGTGATTCTTGACCCAACTAAGAGAGCTTGTGGCTATCACAAGCATCAATATTGGTCACACTGAAAACACATCTGGCAAGTGAGTGACCAGCTTCAGGCAGAGGCTCACAGGACCGTTGAGAACGTGGACGGCCAATGATGGAAATTCCTATCAAGGAGATGCAGGGCCACTGTGGGTTATCCCAGTGTTTCCCAACCCCGGTCCTGGAGAAACACTAACCTGCATATATTAATGTTTTCACTGCTCCTAACACACCTGATTCAGCTAATCAGAACCGGGCCTTATGTAATATATAAGGCAATAATGACTAACACCAGTAAATGTCTGTTTGGGTGCCTAAGCGGATAAGCCATTATGAAAACATGCAGCAACAATTAAACATATTTGGTAAACAAATTTGATTTCAAATCAATGTGGTATCAAAGAAAGTCTGTCCACTGTCAAAAGAGGTGTTACAAAGTTATGGAGAAGTAAAGGGTTTGAGCAGAGTTGATAACTTTAATTTTTACTTTAAATCAGGACAGAGTAGCAAGCTTGTATCTGTCCTCAACCTATACATGTTTTTAGTCTGAATTTGAATTGTTTTTAAGTGTGAAATCATCTGTACTAATGCAAATGTTATTAATAACCGTTATGCTTTCATGGAATAATCTTTGACCACTATGTTGCTTGGCAACCACAGCCTGTTAATAAACTAAATTATTTGGAGGAAGAATTGTTTACTATGATTCTTATAAATAATACAGTTATACATTTATAAAGCATTGGTGTATTTAACATATTTTGTCACTATTTTATTAATTAGTGTCAGGCAACAATACCACATAACTGTGGTAAAATCACTGTAATGCAAGGCCTCTTGTGGCACATTGCTATAGAAGTGTGCTCCAACATTTCTATTCCTTACTACAGAAGTTCATGACAATTTGAAATGCATCTCAAGCAAGCCAACTTCTACATGTACTCCTAGCACTGCACTTTCAATTTTTGCAATGATGCTCAATCCAAACAGATCAAAATGTGCCTTGGTTAACCAACTAAGTGGGTGTTTGTGCATACTTTGTTGCAGAATTGCATGCGTGACATGCATGTTACATGTAACCATGTATGTGTGTATAATCTAATTATGCATGGATAATACAATCCATGTCAGTTTCTTACTGGGGTAATTTACCATCAGACTAGTTATAGCGACTCTCTAATGGCAGATGCATCGAGGGAAAAAGGGCGGTAGTGAATAACGCAAACGTACCGCAAGCGGAAAAACAGGCTGGCAATCCTCATTTATAAATCAGAAAATGTGTTTTCCAATGTCATTTGCTTCTAGCGTCACTTTAAATCTGGCAGTGTTTTATGAATCTGGCCCAATATGACCTGTGTAGTTTTGCACACGGTCTCATTCTACATGTTCCTTCACCGACACTTCTAGGCCAAATCAACTTAAATTTGGCAAGGCCCCATCCCCCTGGAGCACCAGGGTTAAGGGCCTTACGCAAGTGCACAAGGAAAGGAGCAGAGCAGAGTTTCATGTGGGACTAAATCCAAAACTAGTGATTTTATTCATTTTTAGCCTTCATGGATAGTGCACAGTCCAGCTGACACTCAAACCAGAATCCCAGAAACGTTAAAATAAAAATGGACAAAATTCAGGCTTTAGAATGGCTGCCACTATTGTTTTACTTTTGTCTATTTTTATATATAGCAGTAAGTCATACAGTCTCAGAAACCCCATAAGCAAGTCTATTTTAAATTACTTATTAACTTGACACAGTTTGAGGTAAGTTTATTATGATTCAGGCATGTCATTTGTACAAAGCTATTTGATGGCGTCTAAGGTTCCATTACTTGTTAGCTACATTAGCCTCATAACTCCAGTGCAAAACTAAAGAAGCAAGTTCTAGACACCAAACGTCTTGGCTAATCAACTACAAAATTGTGTAAATCTGATTATTGTCAAACCTGTCACATAAGGGTGGCTGCATTCACATAGTCACACATGCATACTCAAACCTTTTCAGAATGAGTTCCTCAGATCTGTCATTTTTTTCTCCTCTGAAATCTCCCTCCTCCTCCATTTCTCACCTGGCAGCCCCATTTCAACACGGCAATCTTTTATTCTCCATCTTTTCAAAAATGGAATATTTAAGTTACATGATTTCTGGTACCACAGGCATCGCAGCCGCAAGCACACAAACAGATGCTCACTCGCGCTTTAAAGTTTCAGCAGCCACCACAGCCTGTGAGGAAGGGGCAAAAGAAAGGGAAGAGGATAAGCATTACAGAAAGAGGCAAGTTTAAAATGTGAAAGATGAGCAAAGGAGAAAAAGCAGAAGGAATGACAGCATAGAGAGAAGAGAGGGAGGTAGTGTAATAACAAGCCCACTCTTACACACTTCAGCTTGTGCATAGCTGTTTATAGGTGACAGCACAGCTCACAAAAGAGAAAAGATTAAATAGAGAAGAAATAAAGACTATAACTATAGGGATGTGCCTGGGAGAAAGAGATAGATAGAAAGAGAGGGGGAGAGAGAACAGGAATAGGTGAAAATGAATGACACAGAGGGAAATGAGGAAGGAGTAGAGGGAAAAGAAAAATAAAAGAGAATGAGAACCCCCAGGCTTTGAAGAGAGCAAGAAACAGTCCTGCCAAAATGAGAGTGTATGAGAATACACAATGATACACCCTTTCATTGAGGCGAGGGGGGTGGAGAGAGAGAGAGAGAGAGACAGAGAGAGGCAGGGGGAGAAGGAGGGGAAAAAAGACAGTCCACAGGTACTCATTAGACACATCAATGGCTGGAGGGCTGCACCAAGAACAGGCAGAACAAAAAGTGTGTGCATGGGTGTGTGTGTGTGTGTGTGTGTGTGTGTGTGTGTGTGTGTGTGTGTGTGTGGAGAGTTTTATGGTCACTTGCCTCTTGTCCTGATTTCAGTTCACTCCTGTCTTCCCTCAGGCTGCCAGACTCAACAACCTCATCTACATCTTTTTTTTTCCCTCTGCTCCCTTCATTTTTCCTCTTCCCTCAGTGCCCTCCTCACCTTTTCTCTTCTGCTGCCTGCACACTCCATTTCTCCTTCCAGCCCTCTTCTCCTCACCTCCCTCTTGCTTTCTTCACCTTCACTGTCCTCTCTTTTCTCGTTTCTTTCTGTCTTTTCACTCCATCAATGAAAACAGAGAGTAAGAAAGAAAAAAAGGGTTTTCTCTTTTCTCCCACCTTCTCATTTTCTCTCTTAATTTCTCCCTCCCTCTCAACTCCTTCCTCCCTTCCTCTTTCTTCACTCCCCATTTCTCCTCTTTTCTGTCTCTTCCCTCTTTTTCTCTCCCTCTTTCCTCCTTACTGTCTTTTCCTCCTACCTCTCTTTTCTTCCTTTCCTTTCTTTTTCATCCCAATTCAATTCTTCCCACCTCTTTTTACCCCTTCCCTCTCTTTTCTCTTGCATCATTCCCTCTCTTGTTATTCTGCTCTGCCTCATTTCTCTTTCCTCTCTTTTCCCTCCCTTTTCTTTTCTCTCGTATCCTTCCCTCTCTTGCTTTTTTCTGCTCTGCCTCTTTTCTCTTTCCTATTTCTTTTCCCTCCCTTTTTCTCTTTTCCCTTGTATCCTCCCCTCTCTTGCCTTTCTTCCTCTCTCTTTCTCTTTTCTCTTGTATCCTTCCCTCTCTTGCTTTTTCTGCTCTGGCGTTCTGGTCTGTCCTGTCTTTTTCCCCCTCCCTCTATCTCTTTTCTCTCATATCCTACCCTCTCTTGCTTTTCTTCCTTCCTCTTTCTCTCTTTCATTCCTCTTTTCTCCCTCTCTTTTTCTCTCTTGTATCCTTCCCTCTCTCATTTTTCTTCATCCCTGTCTCTCTTCCCCCCACTCTGTCTATTTTTCCCTTCCTCTCTCACCCCTTCCTTTTTTCTTTTTTCTCAATTCCTTTCTCTTTCTCTCTCCCTCTTTCCCCTTTTCTCCTTCCTTCTTTTTTCCCTCTTTCCTATTTTGTCCCTCCCTTTCTCTCTGTCTCCCTCTCTCTCTCTCCCCTCTTTTCTCCCTCCATCTCTCTTGTCTTTCTCTCTAAACTAATGTTCTGAGAACTCATCACAGCTCTAAATCAAATTAAAGTGAGCTTAGCCTGAGCAAACAGCGGCTACACCTACAGCCTTCACCCTGACACGCGGGTGTGTGTGAGCGCGTGACATTCTAAATGCTAATGAAACACAGTGTGTGTGTTTGAGAAAATCATGTCACACACACACACACACACACACACACCCACACACACACACACACAATCTGTTTCCTCCATCTCGGAGGCACATGCAAGGTGAGCACTCACCTTTTTGGCCCCAGTGTGCAGCGCTCCTTATTTTCAGACAGAATGCTTAGACACCCTGTTTATCTTCAGAGAGCAAAATATCACATATCCACAAACACAAACACACAGGTAGGCAACCGTATGTCTACCAAAGTGCATGCATACACATTTTTTCCTTTGCTATTTTACCCCTCCATAAATCTTTCCACATATTCACATTGCCTTTGGAGGGACAGGCACTACAGTGTGTATCTGTTGTACAAATTTGCTGCACTTTTCTGTCTTTTAGGTTTGGGGGCTTTTTCACTCATCTCATTCAGATTCTAGACTTTCTCTCACTGATTTTGACTCTTATCTTGCAGAAAATTTGGCTTTTGTCTCATTTCTTGCTGAAAGGTTAGTAAAGGATAGCCCATAGGAACATGTGCTCAATGTTCCTGTTAAATAGAAAATGTTATATTAAAGATTTTAAAAGTATTATAGTGAGCAACAATTCTGTCCTATGAACTGACCTTTCCTGACCGTTCTCTGCTTCACTCTCCTCTTGCATTGACTTGATTTACTGACTTGCGTTTTTTTTTTCACAGCCTTTAGTTGTGTAGAGAACAAAAGAAACTCAGAGAAGGATCAGGAATCAAGAGAATGATGGAGTGATAGAGAATAACAGGAGAAAGTGATAGAGAAAGTGAGATAGAGAGAAAGACAGAGAGAGCGTGGGGGGAGAGAGAGGGAGAGGGAGATAGATAGATACCCATATATATACATGGAGAGCGAGAAAGAGAAATGCAGAAAAAGAGAGAGAAGGAGAGACACAGAGAAAAAAGAGAGAGAATACAGACACACAGATCCAGAAACATATAGTTGGACAGGCAGAAAGAGAGAGGGGGGAGGGAATGAAGGGATGCAGATATACAGACATGCAAAAAATATATAGTTAGAGAGAGAGGGAGAGCCAGAGGGAGAGCAACAAAAAGCAAGACAGAGAGATTTAGAAAAAGAAAGATACAGAGAGAGACAAAAGAGAAAGAAAAAAGAAAGAAAGACAGAAAGGAGAGAGTGATAAAGAGAGAAAGAGAGCAAGAAAAGGGAGAGAGAGAGAGAGAGAAAGAGAGAGAGAGTATAAACTAGATGCATGTGAAGCTACCTGACAGCCAATGCAATACATCAATGAGAGCTACACTTATAAATCAGTGACTGTATATCAGCGAAAGGAGAAAGAAGACTGAACAGTGTGAGTGTGTGTGTGTGTGTGTGTGTGTGTGTGTGTGTGTGTGTTTGTGTGTGTGTGTGAGTGTGTGTTCCTGGTCGTCCCAAGAGTTGGGATCTGTGTACAGTCAGAGTCCTGTACTGCACTCCAGTGTAGCAGAGCAAAGCAGAGAAAACCAGGACACACAGCAGGATTAACACACACACACACTCACATGCGCGCGTGCACACCACAGAGACACTGAGGGAGGGAGAGAGGGAGGAACGAAAGGCTTGGTTAACCAGTAGACGGAGGCAGACAAACGCAACAGAGACACAGAGAGAGAGGTGTGTGTGTGTGTTTGTGTGTGTGCATGTGTGGTAGAAAAGAGAATGGAGGAATAAAAGAGAAGAATAAAAGAGAAAATCTAGAGGGGAAAAACGGAGATACATGCTGAAGTGTCAACAGTCTCTGCGGAATGAAAGATAAAAGAGCAAGAGAGAATGAAAGAGAGAGGGAGTGACACAGAAACGGAGTAGAAAAGAGGAAAAGAAGAGATGGACATGGTGATCACACACACTTTATGAAGGTCGGTACTTTACATGTGTGTATGTGTGTGTATGTGTATGCGTGTGTGGTAAGTTTATTGTATTTCAGCGCAGAAAAAGGAATTATGCATGTATAATTATGCAGGTCATTAGAAATGAGCAAGTTCACTGTATGTAAACACATACACTTGAGTGTTAAGCTTAGCACTCAAGACACTGTTTGTGTAAAGGTCAATATGAGTAGTAAAGTGTACAGCAAGAAACAGGAGAAAGGTGTGTGTGTCGGTGTGTATGTGGAGGTAAGAGAGACTGGACATTCTATATATTGATATATTGTTAATGTTACAACTACATAACTACCCCCATTTCTCAAGACACAAATGCTGAAGACTTTATTTTAATGCAAACTTTATCTAAGTCTGTCACTCTCTCCTGATGTCTGTGTGTTTGTGTGTGTTTGTGTGTGTTTATCTTCATTTATCTTATCTTTTTGGGTTTACATGTCCTGTTGAATTATAAGCTCTCTGGACTGTAAACTACATAAAGATTTGTATTTTGTCTCTAACTCTCTATAAGTAGAAATATGTGTGTGTGTTCAATTTGATTGCATTCAGTATTTCCAGCTATACTTAGATGCATCTGTATGTAGAGTTCACTCAGATCTGAACTCGTATCATGCGGTATGAAGTATGAGTCAGAATGGACTATAGGAGCAGAATAGCATGTACATTAGAAAGAAAAACTCATATAGGGAAACACATACATTGAGAGAATAATTGCTTATTCAAGGAAACACATATAGATGTAGTTATATCTAAGGCATATGTAGTTGAAGCTTGTATTTGTAGCTTGGATACATTCTCTGAGTGGACAACAAAGCACTTTTGTAAGTTGCTCTGGATAAGAGTGTGTGCTAAAAGCCATAAATGTAAATACAGTGAAATATTTATTCTACACTGTCTCTCCTCAGTCGTCACTACGTACATTATATATATATTATATATATATATATATATATATATATATATGTTTAAATAGTGATGAGTGAGGATCTGTTTTAATCTGCATACATGACTCAATGACGTGTGTGTGTTTGTGTGCGTGTGTTCTCATGTTGCATAAAAGCAGGTGTGTAATCCTACCCATCTGTCAAAGAGAGCTTTAATGCAGCATTGTGTGTGTGTATGTGTGTGTGTGTGTGTGTGTGTGTGTGTGTGTTCTTTCTGCGTCTTAATCATGGGGCATTTATCCTAAATTGTCCTCTTATGTGCACATACAGTATGTGTGTTTGTGTGTGTGTGGGGGGGGGTTTATAATATAGCACAAATGGTTTTCATTACAAATGGCTGTGTAAAAATGGGGTCAGATTTAAACTGATTACTATTTATTTTTAGCCATAAATCTGAACATTGTTGCAAGCTTTCGCAGTATTGTGCAGGGATTTTAAGAAATTATGTGTCTGTGTGTGTGTGTGTGTGTGTGTGTGTGTGTGTGTGTTGTGTTTAATACACACTACAAGAGTTGGGATCTGTATGTACTGTCATATTAAGGGTGAGTAAATTGTATTCATGCTGTAGCTAGAATGAGTGTAGGTTTTGTGTTGGCGACAGACTTTATTACACCCATTTGGTATCTTAAGTGATTCTTCTGCGTGTAAACAAATGTAATTACTTGCATTTTCAATCCCACACACACTGTCTCATGCACACACACACAGATGTACAGCCACACACAAACACATGCATGCTAAGGCAGCCAGAGTGACAGTGCACCGCCTTCTCGTCTCCTGTACTGCCAACAAACACACCCAGAAACATACACACAGAGACAGCAGTGAACGTATTCCATATGGGTGTTATACATTCCATAAGAAATGCTCTGAGTTTCCAAATCTGTCTCAGCCAGCACACATTTCACTCTCACATTCTCAGCCTCACACAACACTGAGCCACATTAACATCTCAAACACACTAGAGGCAGGAAAAAGTAAAGGTAGACTGGAGCGGCCCTGCGTGCAACGTCTTCAAGCGGAGGGACAGGGAGGAGGACAGCAGAGAGGACCCCTATGAAAGTAAATGCCAAAATACTACAAATTGTAAAAACATACAGTAACATACATTCAATATGTTATTATTATAGATGAGGAGGAAAACTATTAGAGTATGAGGGAAAAAAAGTCACAGAAACAAGGCGGATTTGGTAAAAACACTGACAAGAAAGTGGGAAGGAGAAAGAAAAGCAGAAGAGAGAAGTGGGGGAGAGAGAGTTAGAGATAGAGAGAGAAACAGAGAGAGAGAGAGGTGGCTATATTATGGTGACAGTGATGGAGAAGGAGTCAAAGGAGAGATTTCACTGTGTGATAAACAGGACACAGGGGAAAAGGGAAAGAGATAGAGAGAGAGAGACAGAGAGAGAGAGAGAGAGAGAGAGGGCTGAGTGCTAGGGCAGGGGTGACTGTAGAGGAGAAAGACACTGATAGTGATGGAGAGAAAGAGAGAGGGCAGAGGGATAAAGATGAGTGGGCAGCAGAAGAGAGATAATGATGGAGGATGGAACATGGAGGTTAGGAGGGATAGCTGGACAAATAGAGAGATAGATAAAGAAAGAGAAAGAGAGAGAGAGAGAGACAGAGAGAGAGAGAAGGCTAGACAGAAAGAGAACATTTAGACAGGCTTCAACTTCTCACACTCACACACTGTCATCTCTGACACTCTGCCTGTGTGTGCAGGAGAGAGAGAGAGAGAGAGAGAGAGAGAGAGAGAAAGAAAGAGACAGAGAGAGAGAGAGAAAGAAAGAAAGAGACACAGAGAGAGAGAGAGAGAGACAGTGACAGTAAATGTCAAACACGCTTAGCCTTAAAGAGAGATGAATTAGAAAGTACCAAAATGTTCCCTTTGCTTTACTCTCCTGTGCCCTAACCCAAAAAAGCACACACACAAACACACACACACACACACACACACACACACACACATATAAACACTTTTCCGCTACTCTGACTTTGACTGAAAGCACTGTTTGATTAAGTGATTGAAACTGAATGAAAATGGGATGTGCTTGTGTGTGTGTGTGTGTGGTCTTTTCAAATCTCTATTCTCCGCACTCTGCTTCATAGCCACACTAGGACCTCCTTTATGCAAATACACACACACAGCCTTCCTCCACGCACTCATGTACACAAAGCAGGCCTATAAACCTCTGAGCACACAACAACTCAATTAATTTCCAAAACTTAAGGAAACAATTCGGTGCATGAATCTCACAATTCACCACAATCTGATTCCACTATTTTAGCACAATCCTCTATTTTTAAGAACACCCTAAACACACAATAAATATTACTAGATGGACTATCTACACTGCAGTGTAGAACACAGAAAATGAAAACAACACACCAAGCCAGATCATTTAATTTTAGTCTAAAATTAGCACCTTCTAAACCGAATGTTTTTTGAAGTGATTATTACAAGCTAGAGATGGTATGATACCACTTTTTCTTTTCTGATATCGACATCAGTCTTGAAATTAATATTGATATGTCTTCTTGAAAAACTACTTAAAGCATTTCATTTAAGACGAGCAACTAAAATAAGGCTATGTATGCTATACTCAAACTCCTCAAACGCTACTACCCCCCCAAAGGACGAAATACACACCTAACATCACATCACACAGTATATACAGTGCATGCTATTTCAGGATAGATTTGTTACTGCATCGGACTGGACTTCATTTTCTGTCGATATCGGCCCAAAAGCATACCTGTCATCATATCAATGTCATCTTTAATCAAAGCAGCTGAATTGCCACCTTCAGATTGATGCATCACACCCACACACACACACATTCACACTCAGACACTCTTCTTTGCTTACTGCAAATATATACACATGGTCCCTAATGAATCAGCATAAATAGCTCATAGTGAAGCAGTGTTCTGAACACCAGGCCATCAGAGTCCAGTTTCCTCTTGCTCCTGAGGGAGGTGTATACTGTACAGAAAATGGAGTGAGAAATCTATAAAGTTAAAGCACAAGCGATGATTATGCAAATGCTTTGTTGTACAAATAAATGTATTTTTATCCCTTTTATTTTCTTAAAACAGTGGTGCACCATCTCTCCCAGCATAACTGATTTGTTTTAAAGCTTCATGAACTTCATGTTTCAGGATCCTCGAGGCATTCATTAATCCCAATCACAGAGGCTTGGCATTTAGTGCAGTGCAGTGTTTTTTTCCTCATTGTGAACTGAGCCACACTTTAATGCACATAGGAAGAGAGCGAGAGAGAGAGAGAGATATCACCTTGAGACACCCACTTCAGACTTTCTCCCAACACAGTGATCAATACATTACAAGGTCCCTTCATAGTGTGTGCACGTGTCTCTCTTTGTTTACGTGTAAGCAATCTAATGGCCTTCCTTGATTAAATTCCAATGTGATTTGCCTGTTTATTAGAGTGCATGAGGGAGAGTGAGGGTGTGTATTTGTGTATAGGTGTATGTATTTGTTTAAAGGTGTGTATTCAGGGCTCTATGTAAACATTTTGAGCAGGTAGCACAAACATTGTACAAATTATAATTTTAGTTTGTACAGCAAGTAGAGGAAAGCCTGGTTTAATTTAAAAGATTCTGCTCTGAAAGTCAGTTAAATCACAGCAGTGCCCACACATGAGGAACATACTTTGATACGCCTCTCGAAACCTGTTGAAATCTCTGCTTTTCTCAACTTTGACCCTGAGGAAGCACACAAACAGTTAGCTAAACAGTTACTGTGTTCTTCTACTTTCTACTTTGTTGTTGTAGCATCTTGAGTATGATATATATTTATAAACTTAAAAAGCTGTTGCATATATGTTTTACTGCAAGTGCCTGTTAGCTAGCTAATTTATTTAATGTAAGCTATCAAAGTGAAGTTAATGGGCAGTGGGGCTGTCAGTAAGAATTATACGTATTCTACTTATTCTTTTTATTTTTTTTCACCAGAACATATTGTAACCAGTCTGAGGATGCAAAATCTTCTTCTTTAGTAGTAACAGTTTGC